CCAGAACAGTGACAGTACTGAGCGTCACCTTCATCTACAGAACATGATTCACCTGAGTGATCCTGCCCACACTTAAAACATCGAGACTTAGAACGACATTGCAATTTAGTATGTCCATACCGACAACAATTATAGCATTGGACAGTTGGAAAGATGTACAATTCTACTTGAAGAGAATTATAAAACATAAATATTCTTTTTTGTAAAACTTGCCGATCAAAGGTCACGACTACAATTTGGGAGGGTTTCCACGTAGTTTGATTGTCAACAATCACCTTATAGTTTAAACGTCTTATCTTAACAATATCTCCACAACCAATAGGAACTGACATACTTTCTTTCATTTCTTCGGGGGTTAGGTCTGCAGGAACTCCACGAACTAGGCCAATTCTGGTAATGCCGAAGATACGAGTAGGTATAAAAGCTTTGTAATTGCTAGCTACCAAACTAGTGTCATTCAAGAAAAAAATAGCGCTCTGGAAGTCTGAGAAGGAACTCTGTTCCTGCCAATTGTTTTCACACTACCATTAATTATGTTTTTAAAACCATTATTTTTGAGAAAATTGCCAAAGTGAACTGGGTGTATAGAGATTCCGTCATTAAAGGAAGTGGTTAATCTTTGTACATGAACTACATACGGAGAGATATCTTGAATGAATGAATGAATGAAATATTCTTTATTGCACATAAAATTACAAATAAAATACAATACAATAGCTTAAGTATAATAGTAGTAGTAAGTCAATGTGCAATAGGCGGCCTTATTGCTATGTAGCAATTTCTTCCAGGCAACCTTAGTATAGACATTTCGGATATGCAAAAGGGGTGCAACCAAAGAATATCATCATAAGTACACTACATAATAAGTAATAATACAAATATATACATATCTATAGATAGATATACATATACATACAAATAACAATAATATTATTAATACATACATAACAATAAATACACAATAATATTAAATGCTTATATACTTTTAATAGAAAAAGAAAAATGAAGTACAAATGTAGGAAATAAATGAAAGGATAGTAGAGAACAGACGAAATTTAGGAGTTGAGGAAGTGATCCTTGACACGTTGTTTGAAGGAATCAAGAGAAGGGGATCGTCGAATCGATTCAGGGAGAGAATTCCACAATCTGATCGCAGAAATGGTAAAAGAGTTGGAATAAAAGTTAGAGGTATGAGAGGGCAAGTTAAGTAAGAGGGTATCAGAGGAGCGATGGGGACGACAGAGTGTAGAAGAGTGGAAAGTAAAGCGATCTTTAAGATAAGAAGGCGTAAAGGGATAGAACAGAATTGAATAGAGAAGTGAAAGAATATGAAGATCTCTACGCCGATGGATGGGCAGCCATTTAATTTGTGAGCGAAATTGGGAGACATGGTCAAATTTACGTAATCCGAAGATGAACCTAACACACTTATCTTGGAGCCGTTCCAATTTATTGAGCAGAGTTGCTGACAAATCTGGGTAGCAAACATCTGCATAGTCCAGTATCGGGTGGAGAATGCTCTGGGCCAGAGTAATTTTGGTTTTAGTCGGCCAAAAGTTTTTAAGCCTTCTCAGAGAGAAACGCGCACCAAACACCTTCCTGCTAACCTCAGCAACTTGCGGCTTCCAAGTCAGACATTTATCAAAAATTACCCCCAAATTCCTGACTGTATCCAAATAAGGAATACAGACACCATCGAAAACCACAGGGGGTAAGGAGTCTAGATTTAGACGAGAATTGAACCAAGTGCTACCTATAGTAATCGATTGTGTTTTGGATGGAATAACTTTAAGGCCAAGGGTCTGACTCCATTGACGAATGGATTCAAGGTCCACATTGGTAGTATTAATGGCACGTGGTAAGTCTTGAATAGACGACTGGGTGTAAATCTGGAGGTCATCAGCATAAAGATGATAAGAAGAAGTGAGGGATTGTGTGATGGAGTTAATAAACAAAGAAAATAAGATAGGAGAAAGGACGCCACCCTGCGGGACTCCGGCGGAAATATCGCACCACGTAGAGAAAGAATTCTCATTGCGTACACACTGCCGACGTCCACAGAGGTAGCTTCGAAACTAATCAATAACAGCTGGAGATATGTTAAGAGTACGCAATGCCTCCAATAATAGGTCAAAGTCAACACAATTGAAGGCATTACTGAAGTCAAGGAGTGTCAGCACAGTCAAACGTTGATTTTCCATACCCAAACGGATGTCATCAGTGATTTTTGTGAGTGCAGTAGTCGTACTATGACCAATGCGGAAACCAGACTGGAGAGGATTGAAAAGGTTGTTCCTGTTTACGAAATTAGCCAACTGACAGTGAACAAGCTTTTCTAGGACTTTCGACAGGAAAGGAAGAATTGAAATAGGACGGTAGTCTGAAGGGAAGTTTGGTTTGGTTTTTTTCGGTAATGGAATGACATAAGCGTCTTTCCAGGCAGAGGGGAAAACACAGGTATAGACAGATTTATTAAGGATTTTAGTTATGACGGGAGTGAGGAGATCGAGGAGCGGAATGATCATATTACGACTAATGCAATCACTGCCTACAGCATTGGAAGCGATAGCTAAAACGTTTTTCTTAACATCACAGTCAGTAAATTGATTAAGAACAAAAGATAATAGTCAGGAGTTGGTAAAGATGAAAGATATAGCAAAGTGTTGTCTTTGACTGAACAGTCAAAGACAGGCGCAGATGAAAAGTGATTGCGAAGGGTATCTAGATTCAGGTCTAAAGAAGAATTATTACTATAAGATTTACCAACTCCAAGCGACTTAAGGAAATTCCAAATTTTAGTGGGGTTACCATTTTCGATGGATGTGTGGATGTGGCGCGCTGAGCATCCCTAATCAATGTGTTGCAGCGATTTCTGATTCGGTGATATTTTTTGCAATTCGCATCAAATGGTTCAATTTTGTATCTGGTTTTCGCACGATTCTTCTTCTCCATATAACTTCGAAGGTCACTACTCAGCCACGGTGCAGGAAGGTGCCTGAACCGAACGGGTCGAACTGGTGCATGTACATCATAAAGGTGAGTCAGTAGCCATGTAAATAACTCGACCTGTTCATCTACCGAATCAACACTATCCACTACTGACCAGTCAACTCTACTCGCGTCTTCACGCAATCGATCTAAGTCCATGGCTCCAAAATTACGTTGTAGGAGAATTTTAGGCTTAGCCTTGGGCACGCGCACCCTATACGACAGGTACACGAGGTCGTGATAGGAAAAGGTATCGGCCATGAATTGACCGTGCTTGGTGACAAGTTCGGGAGAAGAGACTGCTATGAGGTCCAGAAGAGAGGGAGTACAGTTAGGAAAATGATGCGTAGCGTTAGATGGAAGAATATGTAAGTTACAGGAATTTATAACAGAACGAAGACTGCTCGAACGTGAATCATTTTTAAGAAGGCAAGTATTAAAATCACCCATCAAAATGGTATGATCATATGAAGGAGCAAAGTCTTCAAGGAGCTTTGCAAGAGCGGAAAAGTAGTCAATTCTTAGAGATGGGCAATAGTAAACTCCCAGAAGTAGTTTATGATGAGACAAAGTAACTTCCAGAAACAGATGTTCTGCAGTATCAGGTGGAGGGGGTTGAGGTGAAGTACTGAGGATTGCAAAAAGAATATGACTACGAAGATAAGTGGCTACCCCACCATGTGAAGAACTAGCACGGTCATTGCGAATAAGTTGGAAACCTGGAAGACAGACAGAAGTAGAAAAAAGGCTAGGATTTAAAAATGTCTCCGACACAAGAATAGCGTGGATATTTTTGTTGTCAAACGTAGTTAGCATGTCCGCATAATGTGCTGGAATACTCTGCGCGTTGATGTGTACTACATTGAAATTCTTAGGAACTTCTGAGGTATTATGCAGCAGCTCTCAAGCTCATCTTGATGCTCAAACAATTGGCGGCCTGGCAAATCCTGGTCTTTCTGGGTAGTATTAGTATTCGTAGAAGGGGTAGGTATGGGAGCAGCAACAGGCTGAACCGGGGAAGATGATGGGGGCGTCGAGAAAACTTCTGTAGTACTGTTAAGCTTGGTACCGCAAATGTCGCTATCTGAACAACCACATCCATTGTCTGATTGAGACTTATGCTTACGTTTTTTCTTATTGCAATGTTTGCAAATTTTACGCTGCCGAATACGTTTTCTTCCTTTTAGAGAGTTATCAGTATGGTCTGTGTTCATACTGGAATCATTGGAGGCAATAATCACGTTTCTACCAAATGAGGGGACTGTGCCCCCTGGATCAGGGGGCTCGTCCATTTTAGGCGAAAGGAAAAATGATAGAACTCACCAGATGACGATGACCATTAACACAAAAAACAATATATACAATCAAATAAATAGTATTTACACAAATACTACACTCCTGACCACCTAATTACAATTATTATTAAATATTCAATTTCTAAGCCGAAAAAATTAACCCGCCTAAATCGAGCTTTCCCGCGCTTTTTCAAATCTCTTTTTGTATTAGTGTAACAGTATAAATTATAATTAAATTTTTAGTTTTGAGTTTTAAGGTTTTGAGTTTCTTAATTATTTTTTACCTGTTTAAGCTCGTGGCTCTATAGCCAGTGTTGAATAACTAAATAATAATAATAAATTTCTTGGCGAGATTTTGATAGTTTTTACACAAATGAATTTTTAAATTTGAGTATTATGTTTTGATTTTTTAAAATTATTTGTTAAGGTTACCTGTTTAAACCTAAGGTTTAAGTTGCCTCTATAGCCAATGCTCAATAAATAAATAACTAATTTTAAGAAATATTTTACTACGGATACGAAAAAACTGAAAACGTAGGTACACAAATTTCACAAAATGCTTTGTATTATATTATTCATTTTCTTTGTATTATTTTGTATTATTCACATTTTATAAACTAAAGGCTTCATCCCAGACAATTTGGACGTTGTGGGCTTGTATTAATTTAGAATGAAATTATTTTTGTGATCAGGGAAAAAACTGCAATAAAAGGAAAATTACTGCTTATCTTTTATTCTTATGATTGTATACTTATGAATATTTACGTCCCACTCCACAGAAGCATTTTTTGTATGACTTATTTCTTCATGATCAAGTTCGAACACGTCTGCAATGAAATAATAGTTATTTGTTAAAATATTTGGCTCCAAATTTATTGTTTGACACGAGTGCTTGTATTGTAACCAAGCAAGCAAGGGAAGGAAGCTACGATTACAGAACAATATAAATTCTGAGCGTATCGAGGGTTTCAAAGCACGAGACGTTAAACAACTTTGCTGCCGAACGAAACGCAACTTTTCACCTCACTATAGCATAGCGAGGAAAATGGTAGATAAAAGAAAAACAGTTGAACTATAACAAACAAAATTAATTATCGTTGTCAATTTAATATCAACAAGTAATAAGAATAAAATATAGGTACCAACGGGTTTATACAGGGTGTTGATGCATTCGCGCTATATTTAAGAAATAATGTTAAATCATCTAAAAATATTTAAAAAATGTTCTGTTCAATATTTTGGCTAATTGTATCGTATCTAGTAAAGTTTTGTAAAATTGTCCCGCAACTGTACTCACCGCAGAGGACAGTGATCCCGCCACTCACTTCAACAAGCGATATGTAATCTTTCTCGATCGCTTATTTACCTTTTTTAAATCATGTTTACGTACTAGTATTGTTATAATTTACTAATTATTTACATGACTTAGAAAAGTTGACTGAAAAAAGATTTTTTGTAACTTAGATTTGGTACTTACCAACTTTAGGTTACATGAAAGTAGTGCTAGATGTGCCTAGCTCTACAGCTGGTGGCAGGTTCCGTACCGGAAGCCAGCCACAGATATGCAGTTTCGTTTCAATTTAGCACATTCTTCACAACAGAAAAAGCAGAAAGATACCAGAGACGATTTTTGCCCGCCATTCCTCGACATTCGTAATCTGCGTAAACTAAACGTTTCACGTCACTTCACTTGATGGTAACACACATGGTAGCGGTTTTTTTGCACTAACTCTTGTTTACATCACACACAAACCACGTTGCATTTCGTGAGAAACGAGAACGTATAGGCGATGAACACACGCAGACGCAATACCACAGACAATATATGTCTGTACGCAATACGCAAGGTGGACTGATGATTTACCAATCACGCGGTCGATACGATACTCCCCTCGTCTCTACTCGTACCCTGCCACCAAATAGATCTAAAATGCATATTTTCTGCGCATACTACGCATAGATCATTGTTCAAATAGTTGCCGGTACCCGTGACACGTGTAGTGCAAATCAATGACCATTGGATCAAACTTGGTTACCGCAATTAAATAAAAAATAGGAATTTAGGAATTTTTTTTTAATGATTTGGGTTTAGTATCGGGTATATGTATGACCTCTGTAAATATGGCGAGAATGCAAATCAACACATTGTATTTATTACATAAATAATGTACGGCAAATCGTGTAGTTCCACGTGTTATTGTATTTTTCATCGAAATAAAAAGTTAAGTGCACCACAGTCCATTATCGTCAAGTTCGAATCTCAAAACCTTTTCCACGGTAGCGTGGAGAAAACGTTTTGCGCGCAGATTTCTAATGAGAAAGAAAGCCTTTCTGTGCTAGTGAGGTGAAAATATTATTAATAACTTATTTACTTTAAATAATCCATGTCTATGGCATCCGCGACCCAGGATTTCCATAGTGCGGGGCTATCTTGAGCGTTAATCACACATATTAAAGGCGGCTTCCCGTGGTTTTCAGTAATGGGCCGCATCGCGCGAGCTCACGTCTACACGCTCTGTGGGAAGAGGGCCATACAAGCACGCCGCCTCTGCTCGCCCGTGGCGGCCTCTTCGAATCCGTTTACGGCACGCGAGCTCGCCCGTTCAAGACGGCGCGTTTGAAATCATAGGCAGTGAGAAACCAGCACAAGAAGTACGACTTTATTCAAAAATATGATACGATATGAATTTAACACTATGATTACGAACACTTTCACTAATAATTAGAGGTGGGCGTTTAAGTCTGCTTTTTAAAATAAGCGCATTAGCACACTTCACTTCATTTTAAGCGTAAGCGTTAGTCTATGCGCTTAAACGTTTTTCTAAACGACTTTTTAAGCGTCAAACTAAAAATCGTGTAAAAAGCGCTTTTACAAACACGCTTTTTAAACGTACGTTTTAACTTATGCCGTGTTCTCACATTCGTGCGATAGGCGATGCGAATAGCGATGCGATGCATGACACGCATGTGTAAACGGTCACTTCGCTACACAGACTACTTAGTGATGCTTCGCTATTCGCGTCGCGACTCGCATCGCGCGAGTTAGGTACAAGTGGCGTCGCAAAGTTAGATACGAGTGGCGACGCGAACTTACTTTTTTTTTCGTATTTCCTGGCACCATGGCGTCCAGCCTTTGGCCATATGCAATTTCGATTGAGTTTCCAAGTTTTAATAATTCTTCCAATACTTTCTACCTTCTTGAAACTTAAGGATATCATTGTCGTCGCAGTTGTTATTGTTGTGGAACTTTGATGTGGGGTTTTGGATATTAATAGGAATTTAAAAACGGGGAAAGGAAATCGCGGAATAAAAATAAAAACTAACGGAATTTTGGTACGGTGATCAACAGGATAGGGTAGCTAGCTAACATCGAGTATATAACCAGAAATAGAGCCGAAATGTCATATAATTTGTTTGAAAACTATTCTGCCATATCATTACTGTGAGAATTGCGCTCCGATTGGCTAGCCCGAGTTCAAAACAATTGACGGGTGTCGTCAATGGGTGTCGTCTAGCGATGAGCGTTGAATGAACGAACTAGTCGAATCAACGGTTGACGTCCGTTTAACGCTTCGACTGTTTATCGTTTTTCGATTAACTGGTTACATTAATTGTCAACTATAGTCTATAGTAGAATGTTAGAATTATAGTAGAATACGTCGACGCGTTTATTAACGCGATTCGATGGTCAAACTAATTTGAACTTTAAATTCAGCAAGGGTAAGTTGATAGTTAAATATGTGCGATAAAGTAATATAGGCTATTTAGTAATGCAAGATGCAAAAAAAGGGACGACGGTAGTTAATTCGTGAGACAGTAGACGTTCTTTAACGTGACTCGACGGTCAAAGTAATTTGAACTTTAAATTCAGTAATAGTAAGTTAATATTTGAAAATGTGCAATAAAGTAAGATAGGCTGTTTATTATTGCTTTCAATGTACGACGATCTCAAAGGACGACGATAGTTAATTCGTGAGTGCGATAGAGAAGTTTGCCAACCTGCCAACATGACGGGGAACGCATCTTAATGCGTGTGAATCTAACGGAATTTAACTCTATTGTTGTGTATTAAGAACGTCGATTACCGCTTTCATGAATTTAAGAGAATACGTCTGTTTCGCAATTTTTTTGAAACGTACATCCTTTTGTTTTGGTAATAAAATAACAGTTCCTGATGAGTTGGGTGCGAGTTCACGATTGTTTACGTATGTACTTGTTGTGATAATTACAAATTATTAGTTTAGCTCGTTATTATTTTAATTTATTGTTTAATTATTGTATAAATGTACAAACATAGTTTTTAAACTATATGTATAAAAATAATATAGGTGTAAGAATAGTTTATTGAACTTTATGCAATTATGTCGTCGGGACGAAGTCAATTGTGGCATCACTTTGAAAAAGATGCTAGCAGTGGAAAAGCATATATGCAAAGAAAAATTATCTTATACAGTAATTATATATATATAGTAGATTTCTACTACGGCAAATTGGAAAAGCCATTTGCGAAGGAAGCATGTGTCGGTTTTTGTATCTCTGTCGTTGATTTTGGTACAGGAGCAATCAATTCACAATTTGTAGTTTTCATATTATAAATATAATTTTATTTCACTTAAACTTATACTTAAGTAAAATAAAATTATATTTGTAAAATGAAAACTACAATAGTACATATTCTCAAAATCTACTTAGTTGATCAACCGTCTTATTATCGTTGCGTTAAACGTTAATACAACGAAATTCGACCTAAGTTGAATGATCGACTAGTTGACGAATTTAACCAGTTGAAGGATTTAACTAGTTAATCGACTAGTCGACAGTCTACGGTAAACAGTTACGTTTCGTTGATGGAAAATGCGTCAACGACTCATGCCTAGTGTCGTCAACTGTTTCACTTCAAATCGACCAGTTGACTTGAGCTTTGCTATAATGGACGAAAATTGCAAAATTACATATTTAATATTTAATTACCGATGAAATGTGATACCGTTTGTTTTGTAATTAGATGTTTTGCTGTTTTATACAGAATATTTTGTGGAATATACGGAGACGTACACACAGGTCAGTAGTTGGCCTGTCTATATTTCAGTGCAAACGAGAGTTGATATTTATAAGAGCTGTATCGTTAATGTGTTACCAGGAATATATGGCCCTTATTTCGTCTCTATTTCTGGTTATATACTCGATGGGTAGGTATTAAATTATAGGTAAATCTAAAAAATGAAGGATGGAAATTATGAAATGGAAATGAGATTGTAATAGCTGAAAATAATGATAAGTGGACTGTGGAGTGGAGTGGAATAATAATCTAAATTTTAATAACATTGTTCCTTATAACTGAGCCATTGCATTATAAACAGTTATTCGCAGTGATGCCAGTTTTTAGCTGTATAGATTTACGAAATTATTAGGTACAAAACAATATATTTGATAGCTCAATCTTTTAGCTCTTTTAGTAAGAAAAGTAAAAAATTGGAAAAAAACGAAAATAAAGCTAAACCTTCAATATCACAAGATGATAATGATTTGATTGATATTGATGGTAATTAATTTTTCTATTTATAATTTGTAAAGTTAAGAAAAATATGTATTTAAAAACGCAATCTCATAATTATGTTTTTGTTCAGCCACTTTAGGCAATTTTACCCAGAATAAATTTATTTGAACCTAGCAACTTTTTTACTTAGGTTTAAATACTTCCTCCTTGAGAAAAGTGTCAACACTACTTATTTGTCCCTTTTTTATTAATGGTTTTGGCTTAGATACAAGTACTTTGAGCCATGTCTTCGTTTATTGTAGTTCTAACAGACTGTTTTCAATTTCTCTTAAATAACTTAGTTCACTTATTCGGGTTTTTTACATAGTCTTTTAAGCGGCGGTAGTCAATATTTATGTTTTCTCTTTCGCATAGATCACATTATCTTCTATCACTTTGGACAAAAACTTTGAATTCGTAACTAGTGGAATTTTCAGGATAGTCTTTTGTAATTTGGTTTAAGTTAAGGAATATAGTTCTAACTTTCTTCATCACTATTTCTTTTTTCGTTTTTTCTTCATAATATACTTAAAATGAAATTAACAATCTTTGTGAAGACCGTCCCGCTTCAGATAAACCACAGAGTACTTTATATATAGATAAACTGTTAGCTCCCAAAGTGATAATACGTAGGTACAAAATGGATTAGAGTAATGCGCGGGTCTTGTATTTTCTAGAACTATATGTATGAAACCGAAGAATCATCCATAAGCAGCCACATTTTCTGTAAAAATTAAAAAGTTAAAAACAATGTGGCTGGCTGAAACATGAATGAAAGAGACGCATTACTACTTTGAAGCCTTAGCTTAGTGCGCGGTCCAGTTTAATATACAAGTCCGTGATAATTACCCCGTTTGAAACACTCAAGTCCGAGAATTTACAATAACCTTTTTTTGTATACATTTTAATGAAAATGCATTGTATAAATATTTACGAAAATGATATCGATACATGCCATGAAATACCAAGAGTTTATATTTACCATTGATTGTAGTGTGTATACTTTTCTCTCAAAAAAGTACACCTTTAAAAAAACTCGTATCCTTTGACTCGTGCTCGAAATACCGCTCACGATGCGATCGCATGTGTGACGATGCGACGAGAATAGCGAAGTGACCGTTCACACATGCGTGTCATACATCGTTATTCGCATCGCCTATCGCACGAATGTGTGAACGCGTTTCAACCACTCGACACGAATGTTCCGTCGATTGTTTCGACGAAACATTCGTGTATAGCCAGCACGATAGTGTAAACGCGGCGTTAAAAAAATAAGCAGTTTTTTCCATTTCTACGGTTAACAACTACAAAGTTAAACAACTCATGTTTTTTAATGCTTTTAAACACCAACGAACAAAATGTTAATATAAAAATGTTCTGCATAAATAAAAATATAACTAGCTTTTTACAAAAAAAAACTTACTTATCTTAAAACCTTTAGTGGTCTGCTTTTGCTTTTCGCTATCAACACAATGTGAGCTTTTTTAACGTAAAGTCTATGCGCTTAAACGTTTTTTAATTTGTTAGCTTCAAACTAAAAAGCGTTTAAGTGAAAAAGCATTGAAAAAAGCACGCTTTATTTAAAAAAGCATAACATTTAAATGTTTAAAAAAATAAGCAGTTTTTCCCATCTCTACTAATAATCCCGCTTAATAAAGTAACCTTACCAAGTGTCCTTAAAAACTGCTTATAAGTATCTTCATTTCTGATTATGTTAGCTACATAAATTTCTATGCTTTTATTTCGACTTGTGAATATTTTTATCACATTGCAAAGTGGTTTTAAGATGGAAGGATCATAAATGATGTCAGAGCCAATTATTACATCTGGTAATAAATCATTTGATAGATTTTGAACATTGTCCCAGTCAAGCATCATTACTCCTGAAAAAGAAAAGACAATTTGCATAATGTTACGTTGGTCATTTGTTTTTATTTCCATTTATTTGAAGGTGCATTCAAAAGTATACTCAACAGTACACTTTCAACTTTGGACCTTCCTGTCTACAAATGCAGAGCTTTTTAATAGAGCTAAATACATAGAACAGGTATATCATCTGTTTTAACCATGTTTTAACTGAATAAATAATGTTGGTCAATGGAATTTCTCCACACAAACCTAATACTTTATTGCCATCTGTGAATTCTTTTTTCATGGATCCTTCTGTCAAGCTGTTTTGTGGGAAGTTAAATGCAATATTATCACAAATAGCATTTAACACATCTTCATGACAATCTGTTAATAGAATAGAGTTGATTTTACAATGTTTTGCTATTGTTATTCCTGTGAAACCAACACCTGAGCCAAGTTCTAATATCTTCTTATTGCGAAATAAAGCCTCATTGCTCAGAACCCAGTCTGCAAGCATTAGAGCAGCCTGAAAAGAAAATTAAGTGAATATTTGAAACCTAATACAATAAGGCATCATTTTTAGTCACCTGACCATTAAGTTTAGTTTTCTCTGAGTCATAATTACTGTAATAAGTAAACTGTAATACAATTGAGGAAATTCAGAACAAAAACTGATAAATTATTCCAATTTCATCTAGTCTCATTGAATGGATAGGTCGCAATGTGTGCAGATCCATGCATTGGAAACGCATTTTTAACCTCTTGATTGCCACTGACAAAAACTAATTTTGATTCCTAGATGCCAAGTCTAGTGATGTGACATGTTATGACTTAGAACCTTATAATAATTAAATTCTCCTAAGTTAAAGAAAAACATAACTGAACATAAAATGCAACTATGAATCTATATGTAACTGGAATATACAAACAACCCATGGTTTCATTGACATTTTAAAGCATCTATGGCAGTCAAAATGTTAAGGTGGATTTAGCAATTGTTGTTCAGGTTGGATAAGTTATTGGTAAAAACGAACAAAAAGTACCGTTTAGCATTTCAAAACAAAGAAAAGTTAAAATGTGACTTAGTACTTTGTTCCAACACCCTTAACAATGTTTCAAAGTTGTAGATACAACTACTTACTTAAAACATTAAATAGCAATTGTGGACTGATATAAAAAATATATTCTTAAATCTCAATATTTACCTCCCAAGTCTTCATTCCAGTAGTTCCATTAACAACCATATTTTTTGTCTCTTTTATTATTATAACGTTTTTCAAATCTTCTCCAATAACATAATGTCGGTAATAAAAGCTCTCATTTTCGCGGTCTTTTTCCATCAACGAACATAAATAACAATAAATATCGTCGTGAACTTCTTGCCTCGGTTCCAAGTATATCAAAAGTTTCTTGAAAAATAACCTAGCAAAGTCACTGTTAACTGGATACTTCTTTACTCTTTCGCTATTAACAGTAGCATCCAAGAACTTCTGTTGTTGTTCCCAAGTTAAGAACTCCACTTCTTTCGGCTGTAAGTTACATGAACTCATAATACACAAAGTTCTTCTTTGAAAATCTCTTCTATTAAAACAGTTAATAACGCACACACTCAACATAGCCCCGCACTAGGGAAACCCTGTGTCGCGGGTGCCATGGACACACATAGACAACCACAAATCACACCCAAACTCACGAGAGAAATAAATGCAGGCCATACAAATATTTATAGTTGTCAACTTACTTGCAAAGAAAACTGCAATGAACCCTTGTAAAATACCTTTACTAATCTTCTCAATAGATCGTTTTGAAAAGTAGTCGAGGAATTCATCATTTTTAGTATTTTACGTGTCACTTAAAAAATTGTATGCGTAGTTTTTTTTTTTTTATTTATTGCTGGCCATGGAAACAAAGTCCTTCAGCCGAAAACATAAACGTTTAATTATATTTCTGTAAATATGGTCACCACAAAGAGGCAATTTGAGGCGGCGTGCTTGGATTGACTCGGGATTCCTTAGACCGGGCCGATACGGTTATTTTAGTTCGAGATTCGTATGATTTCGCGTTTTAATCTTCGATTAAGGCACAATAGCATTATCCTATTCCACTTTTAACTAGATTTCACAAAATAATTGAAAGTCAAAATAAAAACGACACTTTTCCCTCCAAAAGGCCCAGAGCGAATCTCGTCTCGTATGCGTAAAGCCCTTAGGGGATGGAAAAAAATAAATAGTCTAAGGTAAAGCCCTTAGAGGATGGAAAAAAATAAAAGAAAAATAAAATAATTTAAATATTTGGCACTATGGCGTCCAGCCTTTGGCCAATGCAATTTCCACTGAGTTGCAAATTTTTGATAATTCTTCCAAATAAATATTTTCTTGCTTCTTGAGATTTCAGGATAATTATTATTGTCGTTGCAGTTGTTGTTGTGGAACTTTGGTTGGGTTTATGGATATTAAATATGAAAATACGCTATATTTGAGACCAAACCAAAAAGCCACCAAAAAGGATCACTACGCATTTTTTTTTTGGCTTGGATTCAAGGCCTTGGGCCATATCTTCATTTAATTATTGGGACTTCACTATTTATATATTTTCTAATGTGCTTTTAACGTATTTATAAAGTGGCAAAAAGAACTTTGGGTTTTTTAAATAGTCTTTTAAGCAGCGGGATAATGTTTCTCGCCAATTTTGTCACTTAATTCATTTGCTATTAGAAGACGTTGAATTTTGAACTGACAGCAATAAAAAATCAAATGTTCGATGTCACCAACTGATAGACATGGAATAGCGTTACATTTCTATCGCCGTGACTGTCGTTCCGGTTCCAAAAAATCACAGTGATAAATCATCGTGATTTTGTCACGACTGTTACTTCCGCTACCTTGTCACGCCTATAACTTACATCACGATATACGGTTTTTGCCAGCGGCTTCTTTCTAATACTTATAGCCGTTTCTTATAGAATGATTTTGCTTGAAGTTTTTACTCCCTTTGTAATAAGTTTCAATTCCATTCAAAAAGTTGATTCTGTATTTAATGTAATTTTGTTTGTTACTTATTTAATGCGAATCTTCGGATTGTTAAAAATAGACATAAAGTGTAATGTAATTATATTTCTAGTAGAATACACAAAGTAGATTATACATAAATATAAAATACCAACTCTTCCTATAATAAAACAATAATACAAAAATATTTTACTTTGTTCATAAATAGGTTTATAATAACTGCTGCAGATTTTTTTCATCCGCCCCTTCCAGTAGTAATAAGCACCTACGACCCTTGTGAGTGAGCAAAGAAAGTCATCCTATTTCATTCATTCCCATCGCCGAAATGGCCCGATTTGAAGAGAACTACAACGAGTGGCGCGCCATAGTCACCACGGAACGGAGATCACGCATTGTATCAAATACGTATGTAGTGATGTGAGTGACGGGGATAGCTATTGGAACGAAGGAACACCTATGTGACTTTGGAACGTCGTTCCTTCGGAACGAGTCACGGCAATACTGTTTGACGGCGGATCAACGTGATTTTTTCATCGTGACGTTATTTATCACCCACCCCTAGTTTCTTTCTATCGTGTTTCTATCTGTTCATCCCTAAATGCGAATACCCCGAATACGATTATTTATTCTTTACATTCCGTACTCTCTTTAACACGCTTTCCAACAAACTAATAAGAGATACTACGTATCTCGTATGGTCTTTGCTGTATAATCTCGCAAGTAAATAACGGTCACGGGCCACGGGTCGTTCTCCTTATTTTAAAATAACATTTCCTGGTACTCAGCCTAAAGGCTAGTACTAAGTACGTAATGCTTAACAATGTACTATGATAATAGTTTATCGCTATTCTGCGAAATAATGACAGGCAAGACTGTTTCGTGCTCTTTTTATATAGGTACTCCAATATTTAAAATGTACTTGTGTATTTTTTAGTAAAACTTAAATGGATACAGCCACCAAAAAAGTTACTAGAAAACGTAAAGCCTTAGACGATGGTGAAATTGAAAACGATATTTGTAGGATAAATGCAAAAAAAAAAACAGCTAAAGTTACTAAGCCTAGATCGGCGAAATCTACCAGTACAATCAAGAAAAACAGTGTTACAGACAATATGGCTGGCTGTATTAGTTCCATTGAAAATGATGATGATGATGATGATACTGTGACTTTAACAGGGGGCCAATCGCGCTAATTGTCAAAGGTTTAACCAAAACCTCCAACCTCGCCAATCTGACACGTTGTGTACATTTCGTATCGCGCTAACTGTCAAAACAAAAACCTAAGCCAAAACTTAGACGTGTGACACGTAACGCACATTTGGTATCGCGCTAATTGTCAAACGTAAAACCAAAACCTAAAATGTTGCAAATTGGTATCGCGCTAAATATTTTGACGTTTTAACCTCACATGTAACCTTGGGGGAATAGAGTAACCTTGGAAAGGTTAAGGTTTGTGTGGCAGTTAATGGAGAGTAACTTTTCACTACGTTTATCGTATATAAAAGATGTTCCACGGTTACTTAAATGTTTTGGAAAGTGTTTATGAGGTGGATGTGGCCTAAGAACGGGCTTTAAATAAAAGAAAAGCATAGAAAGACGATCACATTTAACATGTCTGAGGAGAAATTCCGCAAACGATATACCGTTTGTCCACGGAATTCATTTCAGGATTGGTGGAAGAACTATGCCTACATATTCTCGTTAAAGGACGGTCTGTTGCATTGGATGTGGAGACAAAGGTAAGGGTTAAGTGGAATCCGAAAGTTCTCAGTTTTGCATAATAACCAAAATTTCTATACTGTGTAAATCATTATTAATTTTGTTACAGATTTTAATAGCTCGTATAGTTTTTAACAACTGGGGCGTACTAGACCCCCATTGGCAAGTGCTTATCACCCTTTCCCAAGCCAGTGTCAGAGAGGCACAAGCAGTAGCTGCTTCAAATAAACCAGTTATTATGAATAAATATGCAGCTTTCCTAAAAGGCATGCCGAAAGAGATGATATTAAAAGGCGGTGAGAAAATAAGCTTTACAATGTACATCATATTTATTAGTTCTTGTCTTATTTCCTGTTGTTATTATCAAATTAAAATTACAGATATAGGTAAAATATGTATAGTTGTATAAAAATATATTACAAGGTTACAATTTATCTCTTTTAACACTTGACTTTATACAACATATCGTCCCCTTACAGTGAAGCCTCACATATGCATTTTCAGTTTGTTTTTACTGATTTTTGTTGAATAAAAATTAATAATGTAATAATATAGTATCTAAAAGAGGTATAATTTAAGTAATTAAAATGCTAACTACACACATTATTGCATTTACTATACTTCACACCATATTTTTATCTTCATCCTAAAAAATTACATAGAAATATGAGGTATTCATTCTAAGATGACGATGTATACCTATTGTAATTGTTTATTATCTTAATATCTAAATTGATGTATACTTTTAAGAGGTTGAAATAAAAAAAAGAGTGTATTTTTAGTTTATTTATTGCCTCAATCTACCCCAAATCATCCTTCATTTCCAGAGCGAGCTTGCTTTTGATTCTTCAAAGAAGTCTGAAACAAAAATATGTATATAGGAAGATTGGAGACCTAAATTTAAGACTGTGCCATACCTCTCATGAGAGTAGTGACAGATAAAGCAGGATGGGTATTTATATACATACAGTATGAAGCCAACATAAACGCCAGAATGTTTAGGGGCCTTTTCAAAATACATTTAAAAAAATGTTTATATCACTGTGGAAATATAAAGGGGACAAAAGTCTACAGATTAGACCTTCGTTCCTTACGCTCTTTCAGATTTCCACAATTGAACATATCATCAGCAGGAATTAAGAAAACATGTTGAAAACAAACCTGTCATTCTTGTTAAATATTCTATCAAAAAGGTTAACTGCAGGCACCAACTCGGTAATTGCTTTGCAAATAGCAGCTACGGATTGGGCATGCAGATCATCTGTTTTGACAGAAATAATAGCTGCCTCAGCCTGCACCCTGCCAGCATTCACTTGCTGCAAGAATGCTTCGCATGCTCGCAGCTTCTCAATGCATAAGAATTCTACCCGGCTCTGCTCCAACGCTCATCAGCTCGCTGCCAACGAAATAATAGATGTGATGTAATAAAGAGTGGGAAAGAATTTGCTCAAATTGAAAGTTACTTTGTTTTTTAATTAATAATAAAGAGTGAGAAAGTTACTTTGTTATGGAATTGTATGTTTGAAGTTATTTAGTTACTTAGTGCTAGAGTTGGTGTCCTTTAGGAAGGTTGGTAGGTCCTCTGCCGCAGTCGATGTGGCGTAGATTCTCACCCTGCTTTTCATACCATTCCATATCTGAATAACAAATAATAACATTGCATATTAAGTGATATGAGTTCTGGTACAATAAGGGTGAGTGATCCATTCACTGTATCCTATTACCTCTCATTATGACTCACCTTTTGGGATCTATTGCGGGGCCACAAAATAGCCACACACTCGCACCAAAGGCGTGCTGATAACACGCGCGAACAACGCCGAGCGAAGTCATTCTCAAGCTAAATCTCTGTGCGATTCGAACTCCAGCAAAGATGGAGCTGGCTTACAGTGGTCGCTCGCCGTCCGACCACATCCACATTGGCTGAAATACGAGCATCATTATTAATTCTACATTGCTAACATTTCGAAATTAATAGTAGTTAGCGTACCTATTTGATTGTATAAAAAGATTCTATTTTATTAAATAGAATATTAAAACAGGAACACAATGTGTAGGTACTTACCTCTGTGTGTTTTATCTACAACAACAACACACTAAATTCAATTAATTTGGTTCAAATGACAACTCATATGTTTCTTCTTCTTCTTCTTTATTAGTGGCTTGTTTTGTGACTTTCACAATTCCGCCAATGTCACGTCGTAGGTAGCCTCTACACGGGAGGAGTGGATTTGTTTTCAAATATAATTTTGATCCTTACTGCTGTCTGTGAGACTCGAAGCGGGTTTATCTAAAATAAAGCACACAGTTGCAACATCACAGGACAACACAAAGCATAGCCTAATAAAACAGGGTTGTTAATAAAAGTTATAGGTATATTAATGATGAGTTAATGCAAGCAGTGTAGTTTTAGATAGGGGTTATATAAGAAATTAAAAGTAAATAAATAATTAGATAGAATACAAAAAGGGAAAAAACAGAAAAAGGTAAACATTTTACAATTTTAATTGGTTAATTGCCAAAAATTTTTTTAAAATTTTAAAAGGGGAGGGCTTGGACATCTCGAGGATGCACTTTATGTTGGTTGGACGAGGGACATCTTGAGGGAGTAAATCGTAAAGAGAAATGTTCAGCTTAGGGCAGTTAAAAAGAACATGATCTGTGGTGCCATCCTCAACGCCACACTCACACAGAGAGGTATCCCTTATCCTAATTTTAGCAAGATGGACGGGTGTGCATGCATGCCCAAGCCTTAGGCGACAGATGATGGATACGGCCTGTTTACTGAACAGTTTTTGTTTAAAAAACCAGGGTTTGTTTGGGATACATTTTTGAATCTCGTAGTAGTATTTACCTGCCCGATTTCTGGTGTTTTGCCAATCGACCTGCCATGATCTCAGTAGATGATCATGCGCCAGGGTGAGAAGATCATGGTGGTACACTTTGTCATAAGTTGGGGAGCCACTGGTAATGGCCTGTTTAGCACATAAGTCTGCAGTCTCGTTACCGGGAATACCGCAGTGCCCTGGGATCCATGCCAGGATAATGTTAAGTAGTTTAAGTTGGCATCGGTACAATACTTCTCGGATTTTCAAAATAATGGGGAACTTGTTTTTGAGGCGGAACGGATTAGATAATATTGCCTGGAGGGAACTTTGAGAGTCACTAAAAATAATGGTTTTACCTAAATTATGGGATTCAGCAAACTGGATTGCCTCAAGGAGAGAGACCGCTTCTCCGGTAAACACAGAGGTTAGCGGTGGGAGTTTGTAGTTAAGGAGTACTTTGTAGGCAGGTATCCATACGGCTGATCCTACAGCACCACCTTCCTGCAATTTAGAGGCATCCGTGTAAATCGGAAGCCAGCCTTCGTATTTGGTAGCTAATTTTTCTTTTAACAGTTTAGATGCGTGAGGAGAATCTTTGTTAATGCCAAAATTGAGGATGATCTCTGGTTTAAATGTTAGTGATTTAAAATTATTGTTAAATATTGGGAGTCGAGTGAACTGCTCTATGGGCAGGGAAGGTTTCCAGAATTTGTTAAAACTATGGAGCACACACGGCGTTTTATAATTAGCAGATTCCCTCGTCGCCTGCGACAACATCTGTAACCGTTCCAGAAGAGGGTGAGAAGCATGTTGCACTGCTTTAATAAAAAATCGATCACTAAGGAATTGCCTACGAAGGTAAAGGGGAGGATCCACGCATTCGATTTGGAGTCCATTAATCGGGGATGATTTCATAGCGCCCAAAATTATGCGAAGACATTTAGATTGTATTTTAACTATTTTATCGAGAGGTAATTTATTACATGGATCTAAAAGGAAGGAGCCGTAATCCAAATGGCTACGGACTATTGCGTTATATAGCAGTTTTTGGGTAAAAGGATGTGCACCCCACCAAATACCCGCGAGGGTACGGAGAATGTTAACACCTTTCTCACATTTACCGCTGATGTAGTTAAAGTGTTGAACCCCACTTAGTTTGGAGTCTAAAAACATGCCCAAGAATTTGACATGTGTATCTACGGGAATGTAGTCACCCTGACATAAAATCTGGGGGGATGGGATATTCCTTTTTCTACAAAATACAACACAACAACACTTGGGAACCGACAATGACAAGCCATGCTCGGCTAACCAATCGCTCAGATAGGTTAAGGCAGAAGTGAGGCGTGATGTTGCTTCCTGGACTGATTCTGATCGTACATACAGGGCTACATCGTCAGCATACTGCAGGACCTGGCAGAACGAGTTAACCGTCATTTCCAGATCCAGCGTGTAAACATTGTAGAGCAGGGGACTAAGTACGGAGCCCTGGGGGAGGCCTTTCCAGACAGATAGGGGAGGAATAGAAGTACCATGGCAGCGAATTTCGATAGATCTGGCTGAAATCGAGTTAACAATAAAACGAACCAACTTCTCAGGGACACTCAGCTGTCGTAGCTTACTTCTGAGCACCGGAAGAAGGACGTTATCGTAGGCGGCTGCTATATCCAGGAACACGCCTACGACATACTGTTTTTTTTGAAATGCTAAACGAATATCTGTGGTTAGGATACTCAAGCTGTCTAGTGTACTGGATCCCTTTCTGAACCCGAATTGAGTTTTTGCCAATAGACCGTGCCTCTCTAAAAACCATTCCAGTCGATTCCTTATCATATGTTCCATCACTTTGAATAGGGTAGAGGATAGGGCAATCGGTCTGTACGAGTTGCAGTCGAGGGGATCTTTGCCGGGCTTAAGAAGAGGGATGATAATTTGCTTGTTCCACTCATCCGGTATGATACCCCCGTCGAAGAAGGTGTTAACTAATTTTAGATAATATAATTTTGTTTTTTCCGTTGAGTTTACGAGGAATGAATATGGGATGCCATCTATTCCCGGAGCAGTATCCTTAAGCCCAGTTAATACCATATTCAATTCCAGTAGAGAGAAAGGACCATCAAGTTCTTCAGAAGCCGAGATATAGGTGAAAGTATGCAATGGGAGATTGTCCTTGTTTGGGACTGATGGGGGTGCTAGCTTGTCTGCAAATGAGTGAATCCAACCTGAGGGGTCGTTTGAGGTGTTTCCTTTAGGGCGTAGAGAGCCGCGGAATCTTTTAATCTGTCTCCAGACTACGGATGATGGAGTACGAGGTGACATGCTTTCACAGAAATTTGTCCAACCATGTTTTTTCTTTGGGGCCAGAACCCTTCTACATTGGGCTGCTACCTGCTTGTAGTGTAGAAAGTTCTCCTGAGACATTAGATCATTGTACTTCTTTTCTGCCTCCTTCCTTTTACGGATGGCGTCCGTGCAATCAGCGTCCCACCACGGAGGTGAAATCCTTCTGCGCGTTGTTTGTTTCTGAGGGATATTGGTGTGTGCTGACGTTAAAAGGGTTTCCTTGAATGCCCTGTATGCCGTAAGTCAACTGTCCGGCGTCACGTCAGGGAGGGACTCCACTTTGTTATTGATTTCCATCGAAAAAGATGACCAGTCAGCTTTATTTAATCTAAATTTTAAAAGTGGGGGAGTGTAATGAACTTTTAATCTTTTATCCGGCATAGAGATAAGAATGGGGTAGTGATCACTTCCATATGTACTTTTGAGAGTGCACCATGTTAAAAGAGAAGCCAACTGCGGGGAACAAATTGTTAAGTCTATTGCACTGCATGGGTTCTGAGTTGGGTTGGGCCTTCTTGTGGGGCTGCCGTTATTTATAACGCACAAATCCAGCTCATCCAGGAGGTCAATAAGCAGGGTGCCAAATGAATCTGAACGATAAGATCCCCAGGACTCATGGTGCGCGTTAAAATCGCCCATAACAACTATAGGGGAGGGGAGCACTGATATAATGGAGCGAAGATCTTGCAAAACAAGAAAATTAGGGTGGGGAATATATATTGACACAAAAGAGATATCATCAATCCTTACTGCTACGGCGTTAAGTATATCTCTATTGTGTGAGGGGAGATGGATTTGGGAGAAGAGCAATGATTTATTAACAAAAAGTGCGCTCCCTCCATGTCCATCATCCCTGTCATCACGGAGACACGAGAATCCGGGCACATTGAAGATGTAGTCCCTGGGAAACCACGTCTCCGAGATGGCAAGGACTAACGGAGAGATTGTGTTTATTATATGTTGGAATTCATGTTTTTTGGATTTTAGACTGTTACTATTCCATTGAACAATATTCAGAGCCATTTTTAGTGAGTAGATTTAAAAGAGGTAAAATTTTTGGGGCAACGTTGGGCGGTAGTGGGACATCACTGAATTTTTTTAGAATGTTAATGACCAGTAACCATAGAAGGTCAAGGCAGTCATCATTAGGGGAGGTCTCTGTTGTGTTTGAGGGGTTACCTAAAGCACAGCCATCAGGAAGAGTAGAAGGACAATCTCTAATTATATTGTTGTGTGCTTCTCTGTCGTAACTTTTCCCTAAAGGGCCTGATTGGCGAGGTGTCAGAAATACTGTTTTTCTGTAAGACTGTGTTAGCGGGGTAGAGGGAGACAATTGTGTTGGGAAGGGTGGTGAAAGTGTAGTGGGTATGCTAGTGGACACCCTTGATGTGTCCGCATATGATCTTTTAACATTTGGGAAGAGAGCAGCAGCTTCCTGAAACGATATATTGTCCTGTGACATACGCATTTTGATAGATTTTTGCCGGGAGTGCTCAAGGCAGTTCCTGCTTGTGGCGAAATGGGTTCCTGAACAATGCAAACAAGTAGCATTATCCTCCACTACTGAGCAAGTCTCCCCGGGGTGAGATTGGGCGCATCTGTAACATCTAGGCTTGGATCGGCATTGGGTCTTAATGTGCCCGAAACGGCAGCAGTTGTTACATTGTATTGTGGGCAACTGGTAAGCATCTACTACTATAGACGTGTAATAGAGGAAAATTCTCGAGGGTAGATTTTGACCTTGAAATGTCAGTACGACCGTTTGGGTGGGGGCCCATGTAGTAACTCCATTATCAATCTGTTTGCGGTTTAGTCTTCTAGCTTTGAGCACAACACCACAATAGTCAGGTGTAACCATAGCCTCTACTAGCTCCTCCATTGTCAACTCCGTAGGGATACCTCTGATGAGCCCTAAGCGTGTGACATTGTAGTTCGGAATCACAGCTTCATATTTATATAAAGGTAGGAAATGATTGTTGATAAACTCGTTGGCGTCCTTACCAGTCTTAAATTCCACAGCTATTCTGTTCCGACCAACCTTTTTGATTCCACCATAAACAACATTACTAATTTTATTTTTGTTTAAAAATTGACCAAAGATTATGGGGCGGATAGTAGTACCAGACGAGGGAGTTGTCTCCTGTCGTGAAACATGGACAATAAACGGACCTTTATCCTGTTCCGAATACAGTTTGGGCATTTCTGTCAGCGACGGGTGAGTGTAAATTGCCTTGGGATCACTGGATTGGCTTGTAACCGGGGGTGTGGACGACGGTTGTTGCAGTGAATCCGTTATAGCTTTTTTATTGGGTTCTGGTTGAGACTCATGATCAATATCCAGACGTCGTTTTGTGGCATAAGGCGTAAAGACAGCAGGAGATAACTCCATTGGCACTGGAGACAGATCCCTGTCCGGAGGGTCAGGGGGATCGGGAGGAACCCTGTCCATTGTTTACGACGTAAACAACGGAAGGGAGGGAGTTTAGTTAGTTATTAAGCACTTACCCAAGCAGGTAAACATAAAACACAACTATACACTAATATAAAACAGCTCAGAGACTGTGGAACAATCGCCTAAAATAACCAAATTCCAAACACGTGTATCAGCTAACACTCCGAACCATAGATCCAACTCATATGTTTGTTTACAATAGAATTTAATGACATTTCTTTTACACACTTTTTTAAATCGCTCTTTTATAGACTTGAATTCGTAGATATTGACATTTCAGTGCGTTTTACGGTAAAATTTAGTCGGTTTTAGGAAGTCAAGGCACGTCTCTTAAAATTTAATACGAGGTTATAGTTTGAGGTTTAACTGAGGTTTAGGTTCATTAAAACTGATAGCGCGATTGCATTTTGTGCGTCGGTAGAACCATTAATTAACCAAAACCATAACCTCAAATGTTGTACGGTTAAACCTTGCGAAAATAGCGCGATTGGCCCCCAGATATGTGGAATGAGGCAGAAGTACTATCACAGATGGTAAAAGTTTCACAAAATGTTGCTCAGAACTTTATTGCTTTATTGACTGAAGGATGCACTTTGCCGTTCATTGCGCGATATCGTAAGACGGCTGTAGACCAAATGATGCCTGATAGGTAAGTTTAAACTTTGAAACAGTTTGAATTACTCGAGATCCAATTGTGTTATATGAACTCTTCACAAAATGTTGCATTACTGGTCATGGGCCTCCTGTTAGATGAGAGTTTAGACATAATCCATTATACGGGCCAATCAGGGATTTTACATATTTTCCAAGGGTTGTGAGCCTTCTTTGGTATACAGGTTTCGTCACATTGTTTTACTTGACTGAAAACCTTATGGTGAAATAAAATTAAATTTAACACATAAATTTCAAGACACTGAAGGATACGAGCCCGGATTCTAATCCACAGTCTCTGCTTGAGAGGATGTCAGTCGAACCATTAGGTTACCACTACTTAGTACTATTTGGAAAGATTGATATGCATAATTTTTATATTTTGTAGTTCATTTAAATAGTAAGGTGCACATGTAAGATTATGGTTATTTGAAATCAACTCACAATACTTGTTTTTAGAACATTATATACAGATCCGTTTCAATCAATTTGTATATCTTAAATCAATATTTAATTTGTTAGCACAGTAACCTCAACTTGAAATTACTTACATTATATGTATATAATTTTTTTCAGGCTACTAGAATTGTATGAAAGCTACCAGATTATAGCACAGTTAAAAAAGAAAGTGAAGTCTGTTATAGGAACACTAAAAAAGAACAAAAAGCTGACACCAGATATTGAAAAAAGTATTCTGAATGCTCGCAACCTGTCAGAACTGGATTTGGTGGTATGAGTTGGCTTTCTGTTTATTCTGATTTTTGAGTTTGTCAAAGGACTTCAATTAATTAAATTACGTATCAGTAATTTTCGCTTGTTTCTATAAAATTCAAATAACTAAAACATGGATGTCAGAATATAGTGTATGTGCATTTTAGATTCAATTTAATTATTTTGATATATTATAATTGTCTGCATCACACATGCAACATAATTTGTAAGCATATGACAAAGTAAAGTGCAGTGCAACACAAAATGTAATAGGTTGATATCTGCATTTACAATAATTGTTATTTTGTTTCAGTATGCACCACTGAAATCTCATTCCCTGTCCCTGGCAGAAAGAGCAAGAAACCTTGGTCTAGAGCCATATGCCATCAGATCTCTGAATGGGGAACATATTGACTTAAAAACCCTGTGCACTGATGATGATGAACTGTCTTTAGTTGATAAAGTTGAGGATCACATCACTCATATAATAGCTGATATTATTTACAAAGATACCAAGGTTTTAGAGCAAATGAGAAGTCTGTAAGTATGTGTTATTATACATTTCACTAAGCAAAAGACATAGCTTTTTGTTAATTCTAGTGCCCACTCAACTGGTTCAAATATAATGAATTGTAGTTTATTTACCCACTGCGAGGCGATGCATATCTTTGCTTCAGTAAAAAAAAAATTTATTCTTTATCTAATCCTATATTATTTGTATTATAGAAAAGAAGAAACAAGATTTACAATACACAGCAGTAGAACAAAACGTTCAACAAAGGAAAAGAAAGAAGACGGCAGCAAAAAGACTGATTCCAAATCAGATCCAGAGACATACAAACTGTATTTCGATTGGAAATGTCCAGTTCAATTTGTGAAACCTCACCAAACTTTGGCCTTGAATAGAGGTGAAGATGAAAAGATTCTTTCAGTTAAAGTTGTTATTCCAGATTGGTTTTATAATAGACTAGAAAGGTAAGTGTGCTTCTGTAATATTTGGTCAACTTATTTCATAATGGAATCTTGCACAGATATCAAATAGCTTGTTAAATACGGTGTTCCAAATGAGTACATAAATATCTACATATATAGATATATAAGGAGTAACATAGAGTGGCTCAAAACCACCAAATATTAATCAATTAGTTTTTCGAATTCCAGATTTTCGGAAATAGTTAGTGCATCGCAAGATAAAAAACTGAAGCTGAAGTTGGATTTTAAAGTAATTTTAGGAGCGCCATGTTAAAATATAGTAGATAAACTAAACTTATACAGATAATTATTATTATTGCATATACAATTATCTACGAATTTCATTATGAATTCAAAAAACTAATTTATTAATATTTGGAGGTTTTAATCACTCCTTGCATCTGTATGTATGTAGACATTTATATACTCATTTAGAATACATGGTACAATTCACGACCATCATGATAAAAGTAAGGTACATTCGTAATAAATAAATTTAAACAGTTTATACCTTAACATATTGTCCTTAGCGAATAGATCGCTGACAGCCTTGTTCTGTTAATGTGACCGTCAATATGCGAGGCGCAGTGCGATACCTAATGCGAGGGAGGGGCGGAGGGTGACCATGCTAGTTACTTTTTATTCTCTGCTTTGGTAAAAGGTCAGCTATGTAATGTTTTTTTACATGGCACCATTAGAATTACTTAAAATTCCAACTTCGACTTGGTAGACCTAGGTAGAATTCGAAAAAAATAATTAATTAATATTTGGTTGTTTTAGCAACTCTATGTCGCTCCTTGTAGCTATATCTATACAAGTATCTATATATAATGTGGAGCACCTTTTTCCGACCACTGATTATTACCAACTGAGAAGAACCAGGGCTGAAGTGTCATAGATGAAATGTAAACTGCACTTCTTAAGAGGATTGTGAAGCCGACACCAAAGTATATGTCAAATGTTTGCATTTTGTTAAAATAAATATCATCTCTTAGTTGTAAGATCAAATGACACAGAAATCCGAAATCTGCAAATAATTTTGAGATTTATATTTACAGGTCATATTGTCACAATAATGTATTAACAATCTATTATTCATTAATAAGCTACAAGGAGCTATCATACACTAAAGCCTTGAGCATACATAAATGTAACTCTAGTCTCTAGTATTTATACTACGACGAGGGCCATAATAAATGAATGAATGTGGGTTGGGTCTGCTAGAGGGTGCCCAAAATGCTGGAAGCCGGAGAGCTGCCTTTTCGGTCCTTTAATTTTAAAATTGACTTTCAGTACCTCTTACTTCTAATAAAAGTAACCTTCTGGGGAAAATGCTTTTACCTCTTTTAAATTTTACAATTTTAGTCTATTTGATGTGGTTTATTCGTCTTAGTATTTTATTCAGTGTACATTGAACAAAATTTGTAGTTCTCACTTTTTCATAATAGTGGCTTATTTGTAAAATATCAATGGTTTAATACGACAGACATTATAACACGAAATTCGGTAAAGTGGCGTGCTCATTTCTACAAACCTATAATGAATAACAAAAAAAAAGCCTCAAAAAACCTTTTGTAGCTTATTTTTCCGGCAATTCCACAATCCTCTTAATTTGATATGAATAAAACAAATTAATATTTCAAAAACTATGTTATTAAATGCCTACTAATTTGACTTTATTTTTTTAAATTATAGATTTTGTCACTCATTATGGAAAAGCAACTTTTGGGTCCACAAAGGTCTTGGTGACGCGTACAATCGTCTAATCAAACCCTGGTTATCGAGGCAAGTCCGCAATGACCTCACAAGTGCTGCACAAAAGGAAGCTGTTAAAACATTCACTACTAACTTGGAGAAATATCTTTTGACTGATCCTGTCAAAAATCGTCGAATAGCAGGATTGGATCCCGGTTTTAGGGCAGGGTGTAAAGTATGAAATCATGTATTTTTATACTTTCCCTGTGAGGACAAGAAAAATGTTATTGTCCTACTTGACAAATCTTAATATTGACAATGTTTCTTTGACATCTCAACAGGTTGGAATTATTGACGCCAATGGAGAAAAATTGGAGGCATGTACAATATATCCAGATTTTCGACAACATAAACCATATGACGGCGCTGCAAAGCAGTTAAAAGATCTACTTAAGAAACATAAGTACGGATAGATTCGTTAAAACTGTCTTGCCGTCAAACTTCTTTCTGTGGTGACCGTCTTATAGACTTGTTTAATACAGAAATATTAGAGAAACAAAAATAGAACAACTATTTGTCATATTTCTTTTATAATTTTATAACGAACGTGTTGCTTCCAGGGTCGAATTAATTGGTTTAGGTAATGGTACTGCCTGCAGAGAAACTGACACCTGGTTGAAATCCCATCAAATATCGGAAAATATTCCTGTCATTATTGTTCCTGAACAGGGTGCATCTATTTACTCTATTAGCAAAGAAGCACAAAAGGTAAGTAAAAAAACTACTTTCAAAATTATTTTAAAGATAGTTTGTGTTAGATTTATACTACTAGGTATTCGAGAGGTGTTCAACTTCTATAACGAAAAAACACAGACGTTCGCAATCACTCATTACAGTTTTTACAGACAAAACCGTAACAAACATACAATAACAAAAACAAAGAAACTACAATAGTTATAACTTGTCATTAAACAAAACCGACCTCAAAAGTTAGGGGAAATATATCCATTTGCCAAGTTTTATTGAAATCGGTTACCGGAAAGTGCGCGAACCCGGATTCATCCCCTAGTTTGCCACCCTTTAAAGGATAGAGGTGGAATATTTTCTGGAAATTTAAATGGGACTAATATTGAGGTACTCTCTTTTCAACAAAAAAGAATGATCAAAATCGGTTCACAAATGTGTAATGGAGTAATCGCGTAACATACATACAGAAAATACAGTCGAATCGAGAATCTCCTATTTTGAAGTCGGTTAAAAATTTAGAACAAAACAACGATTCAAAAGTCTGTCTAACCAACTGAATTTAGAATAAATGGAATTTTTTTGGTAATGTTCTACTGCCTGAGAATAAATTATTTATGAAATATAATTAGAATAGTTTTAATTGCCTACCTAAATGTACTCGATAGAATGAATGGAATAACAGAAGTAATTCAGTTAGTTATTTTAAAATATTAAGATTCCAACACAACAAACGTTCTATAAATAACCCACAGACCACATTCTTCCGTGAAATAACCTCTTTCAAAATCTGTTTACATTCTTTTAATTACCTAAAAGCACATAGAATAGGACACTGCGCGCAACCAACCAAAATGTTGCCAATACAATCAGCATCGTCAATTCATTTATACGTGCCACTGCTGGACACGGGTCTCCTCTCAGGCAAGGGTTTAGTCCGTAGTCTGCGGGCCCAATACGGGTTGGAGATTATACACGTTTTCCGAGAATTTCAGGTTTCAACACGACGTTTTCTTTCATCGAAAAGCGCATGGTAAAGTTCAAATTAAATTTCGCACATAAATTTTGAGAATCTCAGTGGTGCGATTACCCCGGTTTCGAAACTACGGCTTCTGGAATATTCACACTTCAAATAATGCCATTTTTATTTTAGGAACATCCGAATATGGACCCCAATTTAATTTCAGCATTGTCAATTGCAAGAAGAGTTTTAGATCCACTGGCAGAACTGATAAAAGTAAGTCACGTCAGGTTTCTAACATCTTAACACACAGATCTAATTGTATGATTTTCATTATTTATTTTCTTTGAGTTTTTTGCAATTTTACGAAAAATACATATTTTTATGATTTTTACACAAATAATAATAATAATAATAATAATAACGTGCACACCTCATAGCCCCGCACTAGGGAAACCCTGTTTTTTACAAGTTTACGAAAAATACATATTTTTACACAAATAATAATAATAATAATAACGTGCATACACTCATAGCCCCGCACTAGGGAAACCCTGTATCGCGGGTGCCGTGGACACACACATAGACAACACAAATTACACCCAAACTCACGAGATAATTAAATGTAGGCCCTACAAATAACTGCCTCCGTGGCCGAACGGTTATCATGCTGGACTGCCACGCGGAGGTCTCATGTTCGAGTCCCGGGCCGGGAGAAATATTTGTATGGTAATACATGTACCTACGTATTTCTCTCGTAAGTTGGGTGTAATTTGTGGTTGTCTATGTGTGTGCCCATGGCACCTGCGTCACAGGGTTTTCCCTAGTGCGGGCACAGGCATAATTTAGATATATGTCTGTGAGTGAGGGGTTATGTTGAGCGTGTGCGTTATTAATTAAATATTTTTCCTGGCACGGGAAACGAACCCGGAACCTCTGGGTGGAAGTCCGGCGTGGTAACCGTTTGGCCACGGAGGTAGTGTATCGTTAATCGTATTTGTTTTTTTAGGTAGAACCAAAGAATCTCGGAGTTGGGATGTATCAACATGATATACCACCCAAATTTCTTGAATCGGCACTAGATTATACAGTGGAAAAAGTTGTCAGCTTGGTAGGCGTCGATATTAATACTGCATCACTTGCAATGTTGAAGTAAATATTCCAAATTATTATCTGATATACGCTAATTACATTGATCGGGCGCGGAATGTAAGCATACATCTATATAATTCTTGTAGGCGAGAGGCATCGAGTATATAACCAGATGTAGAGACGAAATAAAGGCCATCAATCCCTGGCAACTCATCAGTCAAATGGTACTGATATTAGTTGCAAATATCAACTTTCGTGTACGCTGAAATCACAAATTAGAAAGCTGAATTAATACAGCGCCAACAACTGACCTGTGTGTACGTCTTCATATATTCCAAAAATATTCTGTAGGTATTTATTGTAATAAAGATAATATCTCTGACTATGGGGGGTTGTTCCATTCGGTGGTGTAGGAAAAACAGCAAAACATCTAACAGAACTAACGGAATCTTAAATTAAATATTACATTTTGTAATTTTTCAATTTTCGTCCATTATAGCAAAGCTCAGGTTAAACTGGTTGGTATGAAGTGAAACAATTGACGATACCCGTTAGTTGTTTCGAATTCAGGCTGGTCAATCGGAGCGTGTTGTCACCGTAATGATATGGCAGATTTGTTTTCAAACAAATTAAATAACATTTTCGTCTCTATTTCTGGTTATATATACTCGATGGCGAGAGGCAAGAGACCTTAAGTCCATATTGTGGAATTTAGGTGTTTTAGAAACATTTCTTATGACTACTAAAAATCACGCCATGGTCAAAGACATTTAAGTCCTATCGTCGTTTGTTTTTTATTTAACGTGTAACCTTTAGAGCCTCATACTCTTTAAAACGCTCTGTGTGTAGTAAAAAACACTATTTGGCACTCGTACCTACAGAGTTAAGGAGATTTCTAACCCAAGTGAAATTTATTTTCAGACGTATATCCGGTCTTAACGAAGGACGCGCGAAAAAAGTAATAGCGTATCGTCAAGAACATAACAAATTCAATACTAGAGCAGAAATAATGAATGTTCCAGGCATCGGGAAAATAACGTACCAGCAATGTGCTGGCTTCCTTAAAGTCATCGGAGGTTCGGAGCCTTTGGATGCTACTATAATTCATCCAGAAAGTTATGCTGTAGCTAAAGCGTAAGTGTAATTAACGTACATGCAATCAGTACCACTTGAACTTAATAGGTAGGTACTCGATGTTCTCATAGCCATATATTTATCCTGTCCACTTTTTTCAACTCATGATATTTTCTAATTAAGGCTTTTTTTTTTCGCGTACTAAAAATCAAATCAAATTGTGACTTCACCACTATTTGCAGATTTGCAAAAAAAATTGGTGTCAACATCAAAGATCTTACACAGCCCACATTCCCTGAACAAGTAGAACGAAAAACAGCATCTATAAATCTGACAGATATGAGCAAATCACTTAATACAGATCTTAGTACTTTAGAGCTCATACTGAATGCGTTTAAGCAGAAACCTCATGAGGATAACATGATTGGCTTCTGCAGACCTGTGTACTCTTTGTCGGTCCAAGTCACAGAACAGATTAAAGAAGGAATCACCTTAACGGGTAAGACTTTGTAAATTGTATTTGTAAATCAAAACGCCAAAGAAAAACTACTTATGCAATAAAAGAAATATTGCAATCACTGCGAAAATTGCAATTTATAAATAACATGATTAAATAAACAATTTTGTTATTTTGCTTATTTGTGTGACTGCTAAAAACAAGGAAGTCTTTATTATGATGATGAGATGTGCTGGCGTGTGTACATTAAAATGTACCAAATATGTAACCCTCAGTTTTGTATGAAAAACGTAATCGCGGTTTTTGAAGTGGGCACTATTTTTCTAGATACCCTATGGTCATGTAGAAATATAGCGCTAAATTTGAATGCGGCATTTTCATTATAATGTACACTGGGCTGGGTTTTCGTGCCTGTAGGAATAATTTTGTCTGAGTCTGAATAACGTTACATGTTTTGTACATTTTGGAGGTCTTAGAAGGATAAGTTTTAGACAGAATATTTGTTTGTCGATCAGAAACAAGCTCATACGTTTTGGAGTCTTCCCAGTGTTACAGTCCCTTAGAAAAGTTAATGATAACAGAACAAGTAACTTAGGAGAGCATAATTTAGATTTTTAAAAACATAATGAAATCGTCACTCTCGTTCTTTAGTTGTAGCTGACCTCCGCAATTAAGGTGAGAAATATTTTGTAAAAATTTAACGGAATTTTTTAGGTGTGGTTCGCAACGTAGTGCCATTCGGTTGTTACGTCGACTGCGGCGTCGGTGACAACGGACTGATACACACGAGTCAATTTAATGGCAACCAAACACCAAAATTGGGCGACAGGGTCTCTGTCACTGTTATTGCTTCGCCCAAACCAAGGAAGCTGCAACTTAGACTAGAGAGAATACTCGACTAATCTCTTACCTTAAGAGTGTTACGCGATATTTCAATTTATTATCTTATAGGTCGATATCAGTTTTTCTTACACAGTAAAATAGCCTAGTGCTGGCACTGTTTTAATCATTAGCTATGTTTTAATTATAGGTAACATGTGCCAATAAGTGACCGTAGTTTATTACTAAGTAAGAATTACATTATATTTTTAAATCATTAAAAGACATTTTAGTAATAAGAACTAGTTTTATTGAATTCAAGCATTAAACATGGGTATCTAATGAATTAGAATTGAAATTGAGAATTGAACGAAAAAACTTCAAATTTAAACGGCTTCCAATATGGAGATTTCAAAACTTCAAATTTAAACGGCTTCCAATATGGAGATTTCCGGTTTAGGGTTAAGCTCGAACATGTGGAAAACGGCTTTGTTGACGATCGCATCGCATATTCCAGATGTCACGCTAGGTTAAAAAATGTTTATGTAGAAATGGATGACATGTGCAGCTAAAAGCACGCTCTACTTGCGCTTTGTACTATGGAATGTCGTGTTGACTTTAAATCGCATGTCTAACAGATGACGTGTCTTTGTCCACACATTACCCCTTTAATTCTGACTCTAGTAGGTACTGACGCCTGACATCAACGTTCGTGTTGTCAATTTTTGCATTAGGTCTTGAAAATCCATTCTGAGCAACGTTTAATAATGTAGTTTGAAATTGGTAACTAAATAAAGGTGATGGGCTTAAAGCACATGCACAGACGTGAATACCTAAACGTGCCGAAATTTATATTATATAGGCAGTAGTGTAAAGTCCTAGCGAGATATAAGCGATACTCGCTTCCGCTGCACAGTGATCAAAAATGACGATTTAGGAGGAGGAAAATATTGTATATAGACAGGGTAATATTTCAAAAAAGCACACAAACGTATCCGTACCTACTGCCTACTGTATGCAGTGGCGGATTTACAGTCTTGGCCGCCATAGACCTCAGGCCATGTAGTCAGTACCTACCAGCCGCCCCTTTCTCAGCACTCATCATATACTGGTAGACTACATAATGAATTTACTTTACTGCCAACTTTTATCGAAATCGATTCAGAAATTTAATAATTTTAAAATTTTTCTAGAACATCGATTTGATTTATCTCTGTTAGGTTCGGGGCGCACGTCAGTAAAGCGCTAAGCCGGCATGATTTTTTCCGACATCTTCAACATTTATTTTATATTATTTATTTAAGGTTATATTTAGGCCAACTTACACAAAACCTAAATCAATTATACACTTAATCTAATTCAATCACTCTGTCTAATGGTGAACTCCTATATCTATGGTGAAAACTGTCAGGTCAGTAGTTTTTGAGTTTATCGCGATCAGACAGACAGACAGACTCGGTAGTGATAATATGTAGTGATAATCACTACATATTATCACTACTCGGAGAGTGCGGGCGGGAAGTGGGGATTGTGACGTTGAGCCACTACCTACTGTGCGCCCGCCGCGCTGCTCTCATCTATCACTCACGCGATAATATAGGTTTCGATGGAATAAATCCCTATAGAAATATAGGTATTTATTTAAGGTATAAAAAACCGTGAGAAACCCAGTGAACATGTTTGACTTTTCTCTCCACTGAAATCTGCCGCCCCTAGGCCGCGGCCTATACGGCCTATTTATAAATCCAGGACTGACTGTATGTAATATCTTTTTTAAGAGTAAATATTTCTTAGGTTTTTAGGAGAGAAAATCGTCTACCATATGCAATCGGTTTGTTTATGCCAGTCGCGGGAGTGCAAGAAAATATTGTTCATTTCAAAGTTCTAAGTTCCGGTATACAAAAAAAATTCTGCATATTTCGGAAGGTATTATGATGTTTTTAACTTAATTTGATATTTAATGTCCTACGTTTTGAAATACATTTTGAAACATTCAGTTTTTAGTGTCAGTTGTTTTGTTGCGGAAACTTTTAATTTATTTTTTTCTAGGAAACGGCTCTTCAGCTAAAAATCAAAATTTATTTATTTTTATACAACCACTGGCGCCATTCAAACTCTATTCATATAAAATAAAAGACTTACTATTTTGGCATATTTAGAGGTCATTGGATTGTCTGACTTTACAGATAAAGATAAAACAGCACTAAACAATGTTATTAACATGTTTTGCATTACTGCTTCAAGAAATTGTTTAAAATCAGGACAACGCTTTGACACACCTATCAAGAAACATAGTTCTTAGTTTAAATAGATTGTATTTCGGGAGTTGCCTAGAATTATCTTCAGTAACTTAAATGTTTTGGAAGTTTACGATAAAATTACTGATGAAATTCAATCTAAAAGGGAACAAGAATGTGTGTAACTGCTGAAATGAGGCCACATTCCTTAGGAAAATGAAACGACATTAATAATAAACAAAATTCCGTTTCCGTTTCCTAATAATATTTCTAATAGTTTTCTAAAAATTTATGAGCAAAGACGTACGTTACTGGTGACATCAGAACCACAAATTTCTAGTATTCGCTCACTACTTTTAAAGTCTAAAAGCAACATTCCACTTTGATTCCACCCGAAGTTTTAGACTAATTGACACACCTCAAATTGAAAGCTAATGTGAATTTGGCAATCAATCAGTAACAATTTTGTGTATATTTAGAAAAAAAATGGAGTAAGTATTTATAAATTATGTTTATATAAACTTAAAATAGGTATATTTTCACTGTATCCGCATTTACTAAATAAATTTCAAGTCCTAAAATAAAAAAATCAGTGGTTTCGACTTTCATGCTCCTACATTGTGATTTTTGATCACTGCTCGCTGTAGGTAGCAAAAAATACCGCGCAGTATCCATCTGGCTGGGTATTTGTATGAAGTTCCGCGACTAGAGCGGAACCGAAATACCGCTCCATGCTGCGCAGTCGGCGATATCTTTTCGCTTGCTTTTGCGAAATTGTTTCGCCGAACGGTGCATTAACAGCCAAAAATTCATCCCCTCCGCGCACTCCGCAAGTCATTAGTTGACATAACGGACTCATTTGCGATCATAACGCCGAAACAAGCAAATGATAAATTTATTGAGATTACGTTACGCACAGTTATAATCTTACTGACGACGTAGAGTGATTATCTAGCGCGAAAATCAAAAAATTTAGCTACCCATAGCGATATAGCGATACCTATTCGTTTAGGTTTGAACAGTAGGAATACCGCATACCCACTTGGATTTCTCTATACTATACGTACCCACAGTGGTAGTGAAAATCTGAATATAACGTAACGTATAACTGAATAGGCCTTATCTAAGTTGCAGTACGTAAGAGCTGACGATAGTCTATAGCTTCCTTGTTTGTTTCAGTAAAACTTACCGTCTGCTTAGTTTTGGTCTAACATCCTTCTCCAATTTCTTGACTAATTGCTTGTATGTGGGAATTTCTTCTTTCGAATAAAATTCAATTTGGTACCTGAACATTTTGCTGTGAAGTGCGTCCCTACGAGAAACAAGGCAGAATAAATGAAATTTTTAGTTTTGTCTTTATCAGTGATGTAAATAAGTTTAGTACCATATAATTCCGTCAATTATCCTAATTATGTCGGTCATGGTCATGGTGCTGCCACTCGCGGGTCCAGAACTAAAATCTTCTAGGTCAGACATTAAATCGTACTGCGGAGTCTGAAAATATTCAATGAATCTCAATTAATAATTATCAGGGTTTTGAATGTAAATAAAACAGAAGCTATTTTTTTCAATTGTTACCTGTTCCCATTGCCGCTTCATAAACATTCTTGTATAAGCATCTCTTTGTCCTTTAGAACTTATGGATACCGTCAAAGATATATAACTAGGTTGGGGTTTTTCTATATCCAAAATGTAAGGTGGAGAATCATTTATACCCTGAAAAGGTTGGCGATTAAAAAAACCGTTCGCAAGATCCCGTCGTTATTTTTATTTTCACTTTCGTTTCAAAACTAACAGGATGAAAGTATCCTTTTTCAGTTATAATAAATTCTTGTTTGCACTTCTCCGTTTTCTGTCTTTTCAGCAGTTCATTACGCTGATAACGCCTGCGCTCAGTCAAGTCCAGAATTTCGCAAGATAATGTGGTACTGAAAGCAAAAATATGCGTTGGAAAAAGTTCATAAATAGAAGAAAAAAGTAAATAATGGGTGGCATGATGCAACAGTTTTTTTCTACTTACGTGAAACTTGCAGGTTCTTGCAAAGTGTATACCGTCATCGTGATCCATTCTGAACTTTTTGGCTGAATAACACCCCAGCACGGTGTCATTACTATGTTCACTATATTAGGGATCCTTTCCCTGAAATAGTATAGATACCCATTTAGATTAGATGTATTATTTACTCATCGGTTTTGATAATCCTATAACTTAACGCACTTAAATTTTTGGACTTACGGTAACCAAATGAATCGCATAATGTGATCTGTATCATTACAAATACAGATTACGTCTCTTGACAAAGAATGGGTTGGCATTATTGGTATAGTCATATGTTCTGTAGACAAGTACACCTGGAAATACAATAAATAATTTATCATACAATCCTGTCATCACAACATACTATACCTGACTGTCTATTCATACCATGGCAATCCACTCCAAAAACAAACCCCTCCTTTAGCACGTAAAAGTAAAATTACCACTTCAGTCCTATAAGCAGCACGTATATTTCTCTCCACATAGCTGGGGATGTCTAGTCTTGTTGAAACCATGTTAGGTAGACCACCTTGTCCCGTAACCTTAATCTTCATCGTTTCATAACCAAATGAGCACAAGAACTCAACCTGCAGGAATAATCGCCAAGATTTAGACTAATGTAAAAAAGGATCCATTCAACAATTATAAATATTACCACAGCTGACACAACCTCATACTTAATCATTTCCGTGGGCAAAAAAGCAAATGGTATAGGCAATTTCCCCAAAGGAGGTACTTCTGCGAAAAACAACAAACATCGAATTATTGAGCCTGGTGTTATCATATTGCCACGCAGAAGTCGCCAAGTAGTGAACACGTCTGTTGGGTTATACAGCCACGCCAACTGCAACATAAATGACCATGTTATTTATCTTCCTGGGCTAAATTGTTGGTTTTGTACACACTCATGATACGAGAACGTATTTGCGAAAACGACGCTTCAGAGCTTTGTTTCTTACTTCTTTACTGAGCAAATATATAAACATACAGAAGTTAAAAGGAGCTAACATATTATATCACTCTTCATTAGCTTACCCTTATAACAGAATCTAAATTATTTATCGGCACTATGCCACAATCCATCACTGCCAAATATTCCGGTTCCTTGACAGGACGCCGCAAAGGCGTCAGTATGCCTTTTGTATTAAGATGAGCATATATATGAATGTATATGAAAAGCTGCCTTTCATTAGGCAACAACAAGACATAGCACAAAGTATTCATTCCCTCCAGGTCATATCGGAATTTTAAATGCAATAGTTCAGGCTTTTGTTTCTGCAAGATAAATCAACGAAAGTAAATTACTTCCCGAATTAGGTACGCGAACCCTATAAAAGTTAAATCGTACCAAATAGCTGTGATAGTGTTGAATTTTTTTTTCATGCGGTTAATTTTCCCACCCTCTCCCGCCTAAAATTAATAAAATAAATAACACAAACGCAACTACAATCACAAACATGACCACTTAAAATATACCCGACATTTCGCTTCTACGAGGCATCCTCAGGGCCCTGATTTTAAAAATCGGAAACGATCCGATCGGGTAACCCATCCGCAATATTATTCGCCTTGACTCGGAAAAGACGCAGCTTCCGATCGGGAGAGGCAATCAAAATCAAGCTGCATGTGTTAATTGTGATCGACCCTCGGCCGAAGCTTTTAACATTAGCGCAGTTATTTCGCACGATTTAATCGTTCCTGGGTACACGGAGTAGCAAAATAATATATTTCCATTTTTATGAACGGGGATTTCTGCAAAGTAACGCCTGAAGCCATTCATTTAACAACATATTTCGTTTCTGACGTTTTATTCTATTTCTTACTATTATATGCATAATGTAGATGATATTGTTTAAATCTACGATATTACCGAGAGGTACCCGTTGACAGGATACAATTCAACCAAAGGTCTGTGCACACAGTCATGCCTCAGTTCATAAGTCGAAATGCCCAGTTTAACTTCGACCATTGGACAGTTGCATATCTTTTCCCTGCGGAGATTCCATGGTACTGGGACATCATACACGCTACCCAGGACGAATATAAACTCCACGAAACCTGGTTTTATACACAGATCCGGAGCATATAAAGTTACGTCTAAAGGTTGATTTGGTCGACAGTCTTCAAGCGCTTTGTTCAATCTGCAATTATAATATTGTTATTCCACTATTCTGTAGGCGTGCCAATAGTAAAACTCAAAGGTAGAGTGTTAGGTACTTACTCATCCACATTAGTAATATTCCAAACACAATGGTTGCTTAGAATAATAGGGCATGTTACAGATATAGTACGTTTTATCTGAAAAAGGACATTGATAGTGAAAATTTTCGATATAATCAAAATACTCAGAAAAGCATAACTAGGTAAGCATACACAGTTCTTTAGTTAGGTACGTTCTCACCTTAAATGTGGGATAAATTCCATCGTACCATACGACACAAATCTTCTTATTTATGGGTTGTAATTCTTCTATCTCATCAAACTCGGTCCTGAAGAGAACCGAGTATTTGATGTTGATTTCGCGCGAGCCCGCGCCGTTTGGCGTCACGGTGAAAGTCACTTCACAGGACTTTGAGGGTTTTAGGCTGTTCTTTAAAAATCATACAAAATCAACACCAGCATTTAATAATACGACTAACGCAAATTGAATTCATCTATTGTATTTTAATAGCTACTTACCACGTAAGAATCAATTTGGAAAATATCACCACTGTAATCGTCACCTATACCATAAATCTCATGATACAGCCGAGAAGTAAAATAACAAGAACAATTGTTGAATAATTTAACTGTCACACTTGCATTTTCGCCAACAGCAACGTCGTGAAGGTTGTTATATTTTGGTACAATCTGGATTAGTGTAATTTTTAAGTAGGTACTGTAATGTATACAAGTGAAACGCTCGTAGATGAATTATGAATTTACCCGCAAATCCGGTAACTCAGAAAACCCAAGTATGTGTATGAGTATTTCTGATGGTTCCCCAACTGGTCTGTACGGAAAATATTAACTTTAGTGAGGCTTCCTCTTTTGCGCTAACTTACCGCTTAATAACTTTCTTTAGATTTTGTACATACCTTCCATTAATGAGACATACACAAGAACACGTAACTGTAGTGTCGTACTGTTGATTTGGGGTCTTCGGAAAAAACCACCAATGATATCGAATTATCTCTTTAGGCGCGATAACGATAGTACCGCAATTATCTGCTCCTAGCCAAGAAACGGTATTCAATACTCTCATACTGAAAACAGCCATTGTGTTTATTACTGGTGAGAATTAAGTAGGAAACTAGAATTTAATGCAACTCACTGCATTTCCATTCTTGTCACGTTGTGCAAATAAGTAGTGACGTAATTTGTGCATCCAGGGATGGTAGGAGGAAACTTATATGTTTCGTGTGTTTCAGTATTCCATCCCGCAGACATCACTTCCAGTTGACTTAATTCCGCGTTGCCACATAGACTGATTCGAGCCTTACGAATAAACAGAATAAATTACTCTATCCGATGAACGAATAGGTACATTTTTAAATGAATAACATGAAGATATTTACTTTCTGCACTCTATTGATCACCAAGTCCCAATTTTCACAATAATCACCAAAGCATTTTGGCTCTAAAGCCACCGTTATAATTTGCCATCCACGGCTCGGGACAATACCGCACATGGGCAAAATAACAAAATTCCTGCAGATTAAGGTAAAAGCTTTACTTTTGCGAATAAAAACTGTAGCTTGAATACGAGCACAGTAAGACTCTTACGTTCCGTAAGGTGCTTCAAATTTAAAATACATAGGTATCTCCAATTTATTCGATAACATAAAATTAGAAAACGTTGTCCTTGTTGGTACAGTCGGTGGTAAAATGACCTGAGTGGAACAAGGAAATAAAATAATATTAAAACATGACAACATTAAAAGTATTTTACAGGAAGTAAGAACTCCACCTCAACAGGACAATCCCACTCGGTAGTCCATGCATTGCAAGGGCCCCACGTATTTCCAATACACGGTATGCGGAACCAAGTGTGTTTTTGCTTCGGTTCGTTATTATCTATCACTTTGAATTGATAGTCACCGCACATCATAAAACCATATACTTCGTTGTCTATTTTTGGCCTGGTGGTTAAATCAAAAAATGTTAGCGCTTTGAATTTCGGTATAATTGATTAGATAGTTTAGTCATAATTTTACCTGAATCTAACTGTAAACAGCCTGGACTGATTAGGTGGAATAATGCATGCGATAGGATCAATTAGGAATATGTTGTCGGGATCTGCGAAAATCGAATTGATAACACCAGTTCATTGTTGAATACACCACCCATTTAACAAAAAAATTTTGTTACCAACCCGGAATCCACTGTATATATCCTTCGTCTTGTTCGTGGTTCGTCACGCAAAGGGTCTGGGATATATTTCTAGTGACGTCGAAAACGCTTCCCATACCAAAATCTAGGTATCTTTCGAATACTGACGCGCATGGTATATAACTAAGACGGTTGAGACTGTTCTCCATCAAATGTGCCGAACGACTCTTCCGTTTCCAGCTCTTCTCAAAAATATGATCATTAACATTGAACAACGGATTAACAGGAAATATAATTATAGCACATACGTTCAAAAACAGTGGCTCCTGAAAATAAGTATCAATAGTTGCGATGCGTTGTATTGTATCTATATTTTTTACCATTTTTTTCTACCATTCGTAAAAAACAGTCGTAAGTTTTACCTGATTCAGAACTAAACAGACTAATTCAGCAGTGTAAATACCGAGAGCTGTACCGTTAAAGACTACACTTGTCGTTATTGATTCAAATGCTCTAATGAGGCCACAATTTCCAGTTGAAATCTGCAATTACATATAATTTTATTGTTATATGGTAAGTATTTAAGTTATTATTAAGTTTGCAGAGTTCTGCTCTGTTCGGTTCGACGTTTGTTGTTTTCTCTTACTTGGAAATATCCTTGCCCAGCAGGAGGCATGAGCCATTGATAAGTAGTGTCTACGGGAGAGTTATTCACGAGTGTGATTATCTCTTTTCTTCGCTCCGAAACATTTTTACACACCGTGAATTTTAATTTTTTTCTATTCAATGATACCTCGGGTCCTAAAAAATGTTTGCATATTCAATTAGTTACATCTGATTCTTTAGAGATAAGTACACACACGAGAAATCTTTCTCCATTATTTAAACCCAAATTCATGTAGATATTAAGTACCGCACGTAATTCCAGAAGTTTAAAATAATGCAATATTTTGCGACGGCAAGCATGTATTTTATGCATTTAGCAACACCTGAATCAGACACTAAATGAATAACATGTGCTTCAATAATATAAACTACAGTGCAGCTGGATCCAACGGCCAGCATAAAAAAGGAAGTTGCTGAAAACATTTTTTTTATATAACATCAAGTAATGGGACGAACAAGTCGTGCGCCTGATAATAAACTACACGCCTGTCCATAACAGTTACAGTGTCACTCAGAGCTTTAAATTGCAAAGATCTGAGGGGCACTACCACTGCGCCCGTCACCCTGAGACATAAGTTGACAAGTCCCATGTGCCTGTAATTTCACTAGCACCCTCACCCTTCAAAATCAGAGCTCAGTAATACTGACATTACTGCTTGGCGACAGAAATAGGTAAGGTGGCAGTACTAGACCCTGGACTAACTATTTAACAAGGAGCTATACATATGTATGCTGCCAGTCGCGGATTACTCACTAGTAATACCTGTCTTTCAGGACTCGCGAGAAGAACATAATGTACGATCCCATTTTCCCTTAATGCTGTGCCACCGAAGAAAGTTCCCAAGTTCAAATGCCTAGAGGTTCTGTATTACTGAAGACCTTAAAAATCGGGATTTCTAGGGCGAGAGCTAAGGGTACTTGCGGTCGGTAGGAGCATGTCGGCTCGCATGTTTACTCATTGTGTACAGAATATAATACTCACCTTGTATAGAACGTACTTACAGCCAATCGTACACAATTATAGGGAAACTCGCTACACGCTCTTCTTTTGCAATATTCAAAGTTCAAAATTCTGAACTTTGAATATTGTATGGGCTTCAGCTCGCTCCTGTAGCGCATCGGACATAATTATTTGCTCAGGCCTATGCGAATCACTTTTTCGCAATAGTCAGTACTACATTGTACTATTTATAGTTCGAACAGTAAGATGGCCGCACCAATGCTTTATTTAACTACTGGAGAATTAGTCCTGTAGTTCTACAGTTGTTATAACTCAATATATTTACTTGATTAGTGTAAAACGTCACACGGCAACGCCACACGGAAGGAAATACTCTAAATATTGTAAACAGGATATTTTGATTCATGAAGCCATTATTTTATTATAACAAAGTTGTTTGCCTGAGAATCGAACTGACCAAATGTGAAAAAATCTGCATATTTCTAATATCGATGGAAGAGTAAGTTTATGTGCATTTTAATTGCTTTTAAGTAACAAAATATTTACTTTTATTAAAGGAACATCGTTGAATTATACCATTTATTAAAAAAGGAACAAACTTGAATCTGCCAATGTATCTACGGTATTCGTAGAGCTCTACGACGGTATTTGTAAGTAATTAATTTATCAAATATTCAAATGTGCTCCATTTTCCTGTATCATCGCTGTTCGTACATTTTCTTATTTTATTATATCGAATGTTCGGAATAATACGCCACGGTTTCGTATTTAACTCGTGCACATTGTCAAATTGCTTCTTGTTTATTAAATCTTGTCCATGTGTACCGGTCCAGGAAGAAAACTGTTCTTCGACTCTTATGAGCCGGAGTCCAATTTCGAAGTTCGAATATCGACAGTAAAACGCATAGAATTATTAATTTTCCTAATTAAACGGAAATATAAAATTGCATGGTGTTTCTTTAATTTAAGATGTTATTGTTATTTTAAAGAACTTAATCCTTATAATTGACTAGGGATGAAACGGATAGCGATTTGGGCGGATACCGGTTATCCGGCTAGCACGTACGCCGGATAGCCGGATATGCGGCCGCCGGATATCTGACTCATTGACGTAAATATGTTGCGACCGGTTTACAGCGCGCATCGCCGTGACTGATTAGTGAATGATTACACTTTCACATTGACGTAGAGTAACCACAACAAATCAAATGATTTGTTGTGGTTACTTGGTTTTTATTACTTTATTCAATATGGTAAAACGATTAATTTATTCGATAATACAAACAAAATACAAACAGAAAAATGTTAAATTAAAAAAAATAGCAAATTTCGCAATATTTTGAAGAAGAAGAGAAGGGAAAAAGCAATTACATCGTTCTTTGGCTATATCAAAATTTCTATTTATAAGCCTAGCACTTGCTACTCCCGTTATTATTTTGTTTCAATTTGATTTCATTAATTTGTTTGTGATCTAACTAATTCCAAGCCTCGATACCATAGATTCGCTAAAAAAAATTACGTAAGTACTTACACGTTTTATTAATGTAGATAGGTACACATTGTATTTGAAGATAGTTTAAATCGTGATCGCAATCCTTTCATTTGGTCGTCTGTCAATAACAAGTAGTACTTAAAATTTAACTAAGTTTACATGAACACTGTCCTTTGAAGCTGGCCTCGTTTATGAAAATAAACAGAACCAACTTCTACCACTTTATGCAGAAAAACTGGACTTCATCCACCATAATTTGCCTTTATTGAAATTTGAGTACCAAAGGAGATCGATACGCTTTCATACTATCTTGGGCCAAGTAGAAAGATGAAAGTGGTATCAATTAATAGCTTATATATAGTCATACGATCACTGAAAATTCTGCGGATTTTAGCTGTCTGAGAGCAGAGTTATAAGAGATTTAGTAAAAGTGAGTTTATGTAACAACTTATACTTAACAGCTGATTTTTGTAGTGCAGTATTGTTTTTTATACACAGGGTTATTTTTTAAATACTAACAACCTCACAGGACTATGTTACTGACATCATTTAAAACAATTTTTGTTCCATAACTTTTTTACAAAACGTTATTTACCAAAGATAAGTCTGTGTCTGATAGTAAGTTCAAACAGGCATGCGTCCTTCCCAACAACTCCTACCCGCGCTCTTGCTTTTTGCACAACAGAGTTATTAGCGTTTAGAGCGTTCTATTTAAACATTTTTATATTTGTATGAAAGTAAAATATGATGAATTATTAAAAGTCGTGGAACAATAGTTGTTGCTTATGATGTTAGTAATATAGCCCTGCAAGGTTGTCAGTAAATACTGAATTTTTGAAATCAAAAATTACCCTGAAGAGATAGTTATATATTTGTAGAGTCGGAGGATGTTAGGAAACTCAAACATCATACATAAATTCAAAAGATCATGGGTAAGGATGTGACGTTTAAACAGAAAAACATTTTTTCATTAATTTTTAATTCATCTTCAATTGTATTCTAAATCCCTAGTTCTATACTTTATCAAATATGCTGCTTAAGCTAGGGATGCTCTTAGTATTTCCAATAGCTGAAAATCTGCATTATGCAGTTAATGAGATTAATCAAGCCAATCCATGTATATACACCTAGGTCTTCTATATAATTTATTTTCTCAAGATCCAGTAATCCTAGATCTAGAACATCATGTCCTGGATATGCTGTACCTGCGTAGATTCATGCTTCAATAATCAATAGCTCTCATAAAAGTCTGGTATTATAATACACACATCAAAAGTGTCTAGGGATGAAGTGAATATTTTTGAAATAAAAATTATTTAAGCAATATTTACCAAATCCAGTCTTCCAGGACGACTTCTTACTTTAATGCTTATGTTTTATTTAACCGCTTACCCCTATATTTAATTAAAATAAACTAAAATTGATGTTTTTGCAAATTGTGGGAAAAAACTCAAATTAACGGCGTCAATTAAATGACAAAAAAATGGCGAAAATGATGATTTTGCTCATTTTTATTGTAAAGATAAGAAAATTAATAATCTGTATTTCCACCATTAACACGAATCACACAATTACAGCGATTTGGCATGCTTAAGATGAGTTCATCAAAATCACTTTGAGGAATGGCCGCCCATGTGTTTTGTAACAAGTCAAAATATTGTTGTAGAGTATGTACGGTATGCATACTCGGCACAGCTCTTCTTTGAAGCATATCTCATGCGTGCTCAATTGGATTGAGGTCTGGCGATTGAGCAGGCCACGGCAGAACGTTGATACGAGCTTCGGCAAGAATGCGTGTTACGACTCTAGCCGTGTGTGGACGTGCGTTGTCATGCATTAGTTGAAATGAATCACCCAACTGGCCTCGCAAAGGGATGATAACATCTGAAACAATCCTCTCTGCGTAAACTTGAGCATTGAGGTACCCCTGATCCAAATGAGATCGGTTCTTCCGCCGATCCAAATACCGGCCCATATCATTATTGTTCCCCCACCATATGGATGAACTTCCTGACAATATCTCAAACGTTCATGACATCCAGATGTTCTCCAAACTCGAGTACGTCTTGTATCCGGTCTCATACCGAAGCGGGATTCATCCGAAAAGCACACATAGCGCCAGTCTTCTTCCTCCCAGTTTCTGTGTTCGCGAGCCCATCGTAAACGGGTCCTGCGATTGCAGGGTGCAATAGGTGGAACTCTGAGCGGCCTTCGGGATCGCAGACCCACTTCACGTAAACGATTTCGGATTGTTTGATCGCTTATTAGCAAGCCTGAGGAGCTGTGGAGCCTCGTAACCAACATCATGGCGGTCATGGTACGATTCCGTCGAGCAGTATTTTGGATATACCGGTCCTGTCTGCGAGTCGTGATGCGAGATCGTCCTCCATGTCGCTCGGCCACGCTGCCCGTCATGCGATAGCGCGTCCAGAGGCGACTTATGACGCTCTGTGTAGTGTTAAGAGTGAAAGCCACAGTACGTTGCCTGGAACCAGCTTCCAACATTCCGACGGCTCGCGTCATCACTTCTCGGGTTAAATGATGTCGTCTCTCCATAATAATGTAAATTGTTTTGGTTCCGATGCAGATATTGTAATGATTTTGTCAAAACGCTATAACTCATTTTTATACAAAACCACATTGACAATCGATTTTCTTCTTATTATCGAATTTTAAACAATATTCGTTATTTAAATGTTAAAACTCACTAAAAAGTATCAATAGCGATACAAAAAAGTTAATATAATTAACCCTAATTACAGCAATACTCTTAAACGTACTTGATCCCTAGACACTTTTGATGTGTGTAGTAGGTTTAGGTTGGTTGTTTCAAACTTGTTTATTTGGAGGTTCAGTGGGAGGATCTTGTGCCTTTGAATGAGCCTAAGACCATATAGACAGCAGCTCTGTCAGCAGCCACCCAACAAGTGTAACATTATGCGACTTGGCATAAATGGCCACCCTGATAAACCTGGAAAGAGCGCAGAGAGATGTTCTTAAGGTCATCAACTTCTATCCTTTCGATTATCCAACCCGCAACCTCCTAAACAAGCGCGACGTCCTCTCGGTTCGGCAACTGTTTATCCTTCAAATATTTTTGAAAAAGCACTTAATTACTCCATTTGACTCCGGTACTTTAACCAGCCAAAGACGACTCGATACCTTTTTATCTCGTGCACAACTCCGCACAGCACACTCGCATAAATTCTTTTACTTCCTTGGTACATTCCTTTACTTTAAATTAAATTCTAATTTGCATTATTATTATGACCGTCAAATTGCAGCTTAAGAGTAAGACTTACAATAAAACAGAGGACTTGCTGGAAGTGGTTTCATAATTACAATTTGTTGTTTTATATAGGTAATCATTAATTTATAACTAATAATTACTTATTGTTAAATATAGAAAATCTATTTTTAAACTGTAATATAAAGAAATATGCACAAAAAGATGCCTAAAATACTGGTATACATTTACTTAGTTTAGGCATCGTAATTACACATTAGACGTAATATTAAATTGTATAATAGCTTTACCTTTTATAAAGAATGCATAATCTAGATTCCCATGTTAATTCTTATTTGAATATTATAATAGCTTTATTTACATTTGTTTTACTTATATTGTAGTAGATTAAATTATATTGAAATAAATTTATACTATCTTATCTTAGTTAGAAGTAATAAACAAATTATCAACGATCCTATAGTTGCGTTTATACTATTTCTATCCATACATTAATTTATTTGGTGTACTGATTATGAATTTTTCTCAGGTTTAAACATCCGGTATCCGGCTGGATATTGTTGCGTCGGTAAAAATAGGGTGGATACCGGATAGTTACCGAATATCCGTTTCATCTCTATAATTGACCATTTCGATCGGCATCATAAAAGTAGAGATTTTTTCATCTTTGGTCGGATCGATTCCCACGTGAGGGAAGCCATTTTCAAAGATCTTTGAATGCAGTATTGCTTACTATTAAAATAAAATAATGTCTCTATGAAGCTATTTAGCTCTATAGGAAGGATATATGGATATCCTTCCTATCTAGGTGAGGCATGCAACTTTTTAAAAATCGTTGAATGCTGTACCTATTACTTACCAAGTTCTTAGGTTTTCGCATTTTTAGATAAGAAATGAAACTACTTTATCGGATCTAAATCGCGTATCTATATTTGTTTTTCCAAAAAAAAAACCAACGTTTCGAACCTTTTACAGATCCTATGGTCATGGTTGGTTGCCGTCAGTTGGTGTTTGATAAAACAAATACAGGTACGTACGCGACTTAGATCCGAAGAAATAGTTTCATTTCCTATGCAGTAATTACTTAATATTGAAAATAAATCGACATCTCCGAGATATCCCATCTACAATATTTAAAGAACTTTCCCTCAGTGTCGCTAAGTCGAGGGACAAAAAATGTACTACCGATACTGGTGACATATGATTTATCTTTAATTTAAAACTAACAAAAAAAATTGACTCCCATAATGTGCGCAGCTAACCGCTTAACTAATAATATGGAGAGTTATAATAGTTTTCGCAAATTCCAATTATTTCTTATTTTGAATAATTATCATGACTACCTACAATTACCAATAACATAGACTTACCATAGCATTTACCAGTAACAGTAAACCTGTAAGTATTACCCTCGGTGTCATCTATGATATAATATTCGGTAAACGCCTGACCTGAGACGTTAGGCTTGAACGTAACTTTTACTTCAAGCTTGGATCCTGGCTGCACTGAATCAGATAAAATCGACAGATTGAAGACGTGATCTATGCTGCTCATTATATACGTTAGAGACATACGATAAGTTAATGGTTTCTGTAAGAAAAAAGAAATAAATTTGTTCAAATAACGAATATGGCAGACTTTTTTGTATTTTATTACTATTTTTTTTTACAAGTCCCATGTGCCTGTAATTTCACCAGCATCCTTACCCTTCAAAACCGGAACGCAATAATGCTACCATTATTGCTTAGCGGCAGAAATAGGTAAGGTGGCAGTCAGATATACATATGTCTGTGGTGGCAGTACTTCCCTGGACTATATTTAAAGCCATTGGCAAAACTTTGATGATTTTTAGAAAATTGAATATTTTTCGCGAGTCAATAATAATAATAATATTATCACCAAAAGGTGTAAAACAGCGACGTAATCTAAAAATAAATAGCAAATTTAGTGGATCAGTTTTAAAACGAGCTTGGTTTTGGTAACTATATAGGGTTCACAATTTTCAATAAAGCACCTACGAAAGAACTAGGTAGGTATTAGACCTGTGTCGGTCGATCATTTTTAATAACCGATCATTCGATCGATCATTAACCATGCGTAATGTGATCGGGTCAAATGATTCGATCATATGTTCGATCTTTTAGCGGGTGACCCGTCGCTCACAATACTTCCATATGGTGATTAAAAGTGTCAAATTATACAATTAGCTTTTATTCTTTCCTGCTGATGGGTAATGTGTATAAAGTTAAATGTATCATTGATAAACCACACTTAGGACACTAAAATTTCTTTCTAGGAAAAGTAACACCTACAAAACAAAAATACATAACAAAAAAAATATGAGCATTCAAAATTACTAATTTATTATCATTGACTTACAAATAAATGGACGACGGGTCTAATACAAAAACCACGAAAAAAATGTCCCAAGTCAACCTATTTAAACGTAGTGACATGTAAAGGAATATGAAAAAGCTAAAACGTTGAATTTAAATTGTAATGTCATCGCAGTACAATTTTGCTTGCTTCGCTGTCAGTCGAACAAACGAAGACTAAAGAGTGAATGACGCTCTGTATACGATTTTAACGCCCTATAAGTTCGGACACTTTTTAGCGCGGACCCGACGTCCATATAATTGTAAGTCAATGTTTATTATTTATTAATATTAGCTAGTGCTCTCTTAAATAAATAAATAAATAACGCACACACTCAACATAGCCCCGCACTAGGGAACCCTGTGTTGTGGTTTCTAAAACCAATTTAGAAATGTTCGTTTCTTAAATTGGCCCAAATCGGTGATCGAATTCCTCATCAAGCGCCCGTAGTATTTTTTGATTTTATTATTTTCATATACATCTGAACTGACAACAATATTTTTTTATAATTTTATAATATTAATTAACAAAATATATGTTTTAACCGCTCTTAACTTCGAATTAAAAGTAACCAAAAGTAACGCATGGGAAAAGTGTAGATACAGTGACTGAGAACCTGCCTTAAAATCAATCGATTATGATAATGTGTTCTGTCCTACGCAAAAAATGTTAATTTCTCTAAATTAACTTTGATAGATTTAGGTTGGGCCTCAAAATTAAGACAAATTAGTATTAAAAATAAAATTTAGAAACTTGTTTTTAAAAGAAAGTTAATGTTGATTATATAATATTATATCAATTATATTATTATTTGACCTGAAAACATGTTCCGAAACGCAAGCAAATCGGCTTCTGGTACTCGCCAACCGCTGCCGCGGCAAGCTCGCTTCGCTCGGGTCGTACTGCTTTTTCATATACTAATCTAACCTAACCTACTGGATGAGGGGGCGCAACCAAGCAACCAAGATTTATTAGGAGATCAATATCAAACGATATACTAAACATGAATGTTATCAATCCTTAAAACAAAAGACCAATAATAAAAAAAGACAAATAATAAAAAAAGAGGAACAAATGTTATTTTGGTATACCAAATATTAATTTAGTATGCATATACCGAGGTTTAAACATAATAATAGTGTTACCTCGAATGCAGTTCATTTATAATTTATCCGTAGGTCAACGAAATATATATATATATATATATATATATATATATATATATATATATATATGCACATAAAACAAAGTATCGCTTATTTAAAAAAGTGGACATTTACAACACATCAATATAAGTCAATGTTTGAGGATCAAATAATATTATCCCATTAATAAACTCACGTTTGAAACATTTGTCAAGTGAAGGTACTTGGTCGCTACTGTATCCACGGGTATACAACCGAAGTCTACTAATTTTATTTCAGAAATGCTTAATTCTGAAAAATTCTGCATTTTCTTGTTAATGAAAAACAACAAAAGTAATAAATCTTTGATGAAGAATCAGTTACTGCTAAGGACTACTGTCAAAGACTGCTACGTCATAGGGTCGTGGAATTTATTATGGGCCAAAAAAGGCAGCATTAATAGTGTAAATGATAATTTTCGTACATAGTTATAGGTAGGCAGTATTAATTTTTCCCGTTGCAACGCAAAATAAAAATGAAAATAATATTGTCTGGGATGGAAAAAAATAATAGCCAAGTGTTGTCCACGTAGGGAAAAGCGAGTTTAGGCTACTTAATCAAATGTCCGGGGAATTACAAATTTTATTGGGGATTTTGTGGGGAATGGAGTTGTAAGCTTCTTGATTTTTAGGGTTTTTATGGTTTGAGCGAATACCGGCTACTTAACACACATAAATTGGCGACTTAACGTCGCAAAAGTCTGGCAACACTGCAGGCTGACTCTGGCCTGACTGACTGTCTGTCGTCGTCGTTGACGTTTGTGTTGTGTGCTTGCTTCGTTTTGTGCAATTAATTGGAAAACTTGATAATAATTAGAATGCGTCTTTGTTTCTGTAAATATAAACAACTCAATAATATTTATTAAAGAAAATTACAAAATATTTCTCATACGAACACATTACGTAGTCTTTAAATTTGAACGGGATTTTCTTTCGTTAAATTCTTACTTCCTGCCTGCGATGTTACCTTCGAGTTGTTTTCTGTGGGATTTATCGCAATAAAAGCATCATTATTCACTTAATCGAGATGGATTCCGGCACGGACTGGCTTTGCGAGATCCTACGCAGCGTACAACTCGAGCAATTTTATTTAGCCATTAGGGACCAACTACAGGTAAACTTTTGTTGCACATTTTACATCATTGATGCAATAGTCATGAAGCAATTACCGCTGTTTGTTTGCTTTGCATTTGGAAACAAGCAATAAGATTTAAAATTAAAGAAGTTAAAATTGTTTTTAGATAACAAGATTGGCCCATTTTGACTATGTCCATGAGGAGGACCTTGAACGCATTGGCATAAGCAAGCCTGGCGTCCGCAGGCTTCTGCACGCAGTCAGAAAGAGAAACAGGCAATTATGGAGGCCTTTATGGAACAAACTTGTTGGTTCATTGAGTTCTAAGGAGAAAACAGAAATAACAACTAGACCAATAGTTCAAGCTGAGACAAGGACTAATTGCATCATACTTGAGAAGGATATTGTGTAAGTATACATTGACATTTTGTATCAGAAATCTAACATTAGCAAAATAATCTTTAAATTATTTTCTTTTCAATATTTGAAATCTCTCTCAAAAATCAACTTCGAATATCTGTCCTGAGTCAAAGCCATGAATCAAAAAACAAATTGTGGAATGTTTCACTGTCAAATAGGTACGTTTATGTTATAATGTAAATTGTATAGTCACATTTTTGGACTCTTATAGCTTAGCAGCAGCAGCAAGTTTGAATTTATTATTATTTCCTTTATGGCGGTCACTAGGCTCAAGCCAGTGTCAGTTTTATAAGAATAATACAAAAATTATCAGTAGTACTTTGAGTTGAATTTAAATTTGCTTGCAAGTTTGTACAATATAAATATTTGGTATTAATATATTATATATATTGGCAAAAGATATATTAGAATCATTTTCAGGCTGCAAAATGAATTAGGAAATGGATCATTTGGAGTTGTAAAACGGGGTGAATGGAGAATACCTGGAGAAGGACATGTCATTCCTGTTGCAGTCAAGGTTCTAAAGGCGGATGCGTTCTCGCAGCCTGGAGTCTATGATGACTTTGGTAGAGAAGTGGAAGCTATGTATAGCTTGAGTCATCCAAATCTGATTAAACTACATGGTGTAGTATTTCAGCCCCTCATGATGGTCTGTGAATTAGCTCCAATGGGTGCTCTGCTGGATTATATCAGGGCCCAAAGTGGAAAAATCTCACTGAACTACATATCAAGGTGGCAAAGCCAAGTAGCAGCTGGTATGGCATATTTGGAGAAAAGTAGGTTTCTGCATAGGGATCTAGCTTGCAGAAATATATTGCTATCTAATCTGGAAATGGTAATTGTTTATCTGGCACTCTATTTGAATTTTTTATTATAAAGCAAATAAGGAAGAATTTATTTTCATTCATTAAATTATGAATTACAACATGGTGTTGTTGGAAATGGCAATATCCAAATGTAATCATAAATAGACAAGGTGCTGGCATAATTCCAAATGTTCTTTTGTAAATCATAAACAAATAAAATTTAAAAACCAACACCCTCATGTAATGTATTTACTACTACTACATACATTATTTGATAACCTTGCAAACTCTTCATCTTGTATGTTTTTTTTATAAATTATAATTTTTAATCATACAATAGTACTTTTCACTGTGAGCATTATTTAGGAGAAAATTGAATTTAAGAGAAAAGTGTAATATATTTATTTACAAACACAGGTTAAGATCGGCGATTTCGGTCTAATGCGCGCCCTACCTGATGCTAACGATTGCTATGTGATGAGTGAGCGTCGCCGTGTACCTTTCCCGTGGTGTGCGCCAGAATCGTTGCGCGAGCGACAGTTCTCTCACGCATCGGATGTTTGGATGTTTGCTGTAGCCCTTTGGGAGATGTACTCTTTTGGAGAGGAACCCTGGATAGGTAAGTTAAATCTTTTTATTCCATAAAAAATATTTATTATTTTTTGCAAAAAGATGTATGTTTAAAAAAATCTCATACCATAATAAAAATACTTTTGTGTCATCATAGAACGGCTTTACCATAATGTAAATAAGACGGTCAGATGTGATATAGATAGATAGATAGTGACACTGTTTGATATGAATTAACGTAGACAGTTTCATTGGCACTTTTTATCCCATAAATATATCCTATTATCACTTAGCTAAGTGACATGGATTTATTATTTTTACCAGAGCTGATGTAACCTGACCTCGCGGCTGATGCCAGCTTGACGTTGAGTTCTGGGATACCTGTATAGAGACCAGAGACAAAACCCAATAAAAATTAATATTCGTAAAACGAGTTTTCTAACTCAGATATGGTACTTTATGTACTCTTTGGTAAAATCCAATAAGTAGATTTATGAATGAAACAGAAATGATTAAGTTACAAACCTTGTGTATAAAATACTATTCGAAAAAGCGTGAAAGTAAACTGCAATATGGTTAGAAAACTCGTTTCTCAAATATTCACACACTTATTCATTTTTGCCTCAGATCCCTGCCCTCGATACATAAATTGCACTGCTACACACACAATGTCAATTTCTCTGTTTTTACAGTGTATATACTATGTCATGATGTGTTGTGGCATGGTTGTAGTGTTATATAATAAATGTTTTTTTCTTTCTTGTAATAAAGGGCTAACAGTGAAAAGTAGTAGTAAGTACGTACTAGTGCAAAGGTCAAGTGTGTACTAGTTCAAAGGTCAATGTTAAATATTTGGCAGTGAAAGTGGGCAATTTTTGAATATTGAACTCTACGAAAAAAAAATTGTCTTGTCAATGAATGGCGTTTTTTTTATTTTGACAGGATTGATTCATTCACTTTACCACATTTTACATGCAAAATGTTTGTTTTTATTCAATTGCGATTAATAGCATCATGAATACATTAATTTGTTCTGTAAATAGTAATTTGGTACAATTAGCCACTTAAGCACTGATTGAAGTAACACAGACGTTAAGTATTATGATATATGGATAAAAAAAAAGAGATGGATCATATGTACTGACAATCTGGGTGATCCAATGATTTATACTGTGGGCGATGGATGAGGAGGTCCCGGGTCCGATTCACGGTAGGACCAATTTGGCAAATGAACTTTTCTAAATTGGTTCTAGGAAGTGCCCCACATTGTTTTCCGTTGCTCTGGTACTCATAGTACAGAGAATGTTTGAGACCAGGCAATTGGTATGATGGTCTGGCGTATTATTATTATTATACACACACTGTTATGCTCAACTGCCAATGGAATAATAATAATTAGACATTTTACTTAAGCAAATTTACAAGATAACAGTTTAATATAGTTTCGGAAATATAGTGAAATCGAGTGCTAATGAAAAGAATGGAACCTTAGCAAGAGATGCTGCTTTCGATACATGGATATTCACTGCCGGCAATTACCGTACATACTTCACAACAATTATAAATGCATTTTAAATTTGTGGGACATACTTAAAATTAATTTATCATTTAGATGAACATAGGAACATATATTGCAAGTAAATGAACAGTAAATGACTGGTTTTGTACCACTGGAACAAGGGCCAATTTCTTGCACAAAATTTAAATTTACTCAGGTGAAATAAAATAATATGAAACTAAACATTTGCTACATTTTAATGCAGTTACGATTCCAATTTAATCCAGCAACAATGTATTTTCTGTGAAGTGATTGATATACAGGGTGTCCCAAAACTCAACGTCAAGCGGTCACTGGGCGAGAGGTCAGGTTATATCAGTTCTGGTAAAAATTAAAAATAAAATCCATGTCACTTAGTTAAGTGATAATAGGCATTTTTTTGAAAATGTTGAAAATCGATACCCTGGACCACATGTTTAGGTACTGTCATCACAAATTTTCAAATTTTGGAGTGGTTTTTTTTAACGTCATCATAAATAACCATGCTATTTATTGTAGTCACAAATCAAACAATAAACGTTATGAGTTTAGTAAAAAAAAATAAGTTTCATTGAGTCGTAGCTTAAAAAAAAATGTCAGCTAGCTTTGACACTTCATATTTTAAAAAAAATGTACTACACTACCCTGGGCAAGTTATTTTAAAAGATGGCCCATATAATCAAGATTTCAAAATGGTACAATATTTGCCACTCTTCCATAAAAAATATTATAACTTATTTTTTGCAAAAGGAGCTCGTTAAAAAAAAACTCATGCCATGATAAATAATACTTTTGTGGGCTCAAAGATTGGCTTTAACATCGCGGAAGTGAGATGGTCATATGTGATAGAGTGAGATGGATACTGACGCCGATGCTCTATTATTGATCATTGGTTATTATCATTTAGTACGCTACGTTCCTTCGTTTACTGTGCATCTTCTCGTAATCATGTAACTTTTGTACTGACGACTACTTTGGCTTGTGTTACCCTGGACTTGATATTGCATCTGTGTTGACGACTCTGGCTTATTCCCTGGACTCGATTTGTGTTGTGTAAACTGTATTAGTTAGTACTTAGCAAAACTAACACGTTTCGCGACATGCCGTATCTGTACACAGCGGAAGAATATGCGAACATGCATCTTATTTACGGTGAATGCCTCTGCCGCAGCCAGATTGTATCGCGAGAGGTACCCAAACTTATAGCGTCACCCAGATCACCGCGTGTTCGTCAATGTACACCTGGCATACTCGGAAGGACGATTGCCTAGTGCTCGTACGAGCGGTGGAAGACCTCAAGGAGACGACGACGACGTAATTTTAGAAGAAATTCGAAATGATCCCAGCACTTCAGTACGTGCGATTGAAAGAGCCACTGGAATACCGAAAAGTATTGCTCATCGAATTTTAAAGCAACACGAATATCACCCGTATCATGTGCAACGTGTACAAAGTTTATTACCTCGTGACTACTCCCTCAGAATGGATTTTTGTAGAACAATGTTGGCGAGAAATCGTGAAGATCCGCAATTTATAAACAAAATTTTATGGACTGACGAAACAACATTTAAAAAAGATGGTTATTTAAACTTGCACAATGTACATGGCTGGCACACGGAAAACCCGCATTTAATGCGTGAAGACCGGTCCCAATACCAATTCAAAGTCAACATGCGGACCGGAATTTTAAATGGACAAATAATTGGACCGTTTGAGTTGCCTGAAACATTAAATGGCGACAACTACTTAGATTTTCTTCAAAACGATTTGCAAACGTTACTAGAAGATGTAACACTCAACATCTATAGAGAAATGTGGTTTCAACAAGACGGTTGCCCAGCGCATTATGCTCGTTCTGTACGTGATTATTTAAACACGGAATATTCCGGAAGGTGGATTGGGCGCCTTGGTTCAATTTTGTGGCCTCCTCGATCTCCGGACCTAAACCCCCTTGATTTTTTTTACTGGGGCTGCATAAAGGAAAAAGTATATGCAAAACCTATAGAAAATCTAGCCCAATTACGCCACAAAATTGTTGAAGCAGCAGAAGAAATTAGTTTGAGAAGATTCGCACGATTGATAAAAAGATCTTTTGTGAGGCGATGCAGAGCCTGTATTCGTGCCGAAGGCAAACAATTTGAGCATTTACTTTAACATTAAAGTATTACAATAGTTCCTTTCGTTTCATTTTGATTAAAATTTATTATAATACAACAATCGACTAATTATTAAGTTGACACACTCACATGTGTTAGGGTAGATTATTTTGTTTAATGCGTTGTCACTATCCATCTCACTCTATCACATATGACCATCTCACTTCCACGATGTTAAAGCCAGTCTTTGAGCACACAAAAGTATTATTTATCATGGCACGGGTTTTTTTTGAAACGAGCTCCATTTGCAAAAAATAAGTTATAATATTTGTTATGGAATGAAGAGTGGCAAGTATTGTACCATTTTGAAATCTTGATTATATGGGCCATCTTTTAAAATAACTTGCCCTGGGTAGTGTAGTACATTAAAAAAAAAAAATGAAGTGTCAAAACTACCTGACATATTTGACTCAATGAAACTTATTTTTTTTACTAAACTCATAACGTTTATTGTTTGATTTGTGACTGCAATAAATAGCATGGTTATTTATGATGACGTTAAAAAAAAAATTTGAAAATTTGTGATGACAGTACCTAAACACGTGGTCTAGGGTATCGATTTTCAACATTTTCAAAAAAATGCCTATTATCACTTAACTGGACATGGATTTTTTTTTTTAATTTTTACCAGAACTGATATAACCTGGCCTCTCGCCCAGTGACCGCTTGACGTTGAGTTTTGGGACACCCTGTATATAGAATATTGTGCTTGTCTATGTGTGTCCATGCCACCCGCGATACAGGGTTTTGACTAATGCAGGGCTAAAAGAAAAGTGCAGAGCTAAGTTTGTGACATATTCCGTGTATTTCCTCTACTCGCAACAGTTTTGTCTCGCAACAGCCTCCGTGGCCGAACGGTTACCTTGCTGATCTACCACGCAGACGTTCCGGGCTCGATTCCCGGCCGGGAAAAATATTTATATGGCCTACATTTAATTATCTCGTGAGTTTGGGTGTAATTTGTGGTTGTGGTTGTTTCCCTAGTGCGGGTCAATGAGTGTGTGCGTGTGTGCGTTATTATTGTATACACTATCTCTACCTTTAACCTAGCCTCCTTTGAGAATATCCTTAATCGTACATTTGTACGTACGCCGAGGTCGTCCTTGCTCAAGGAAACTCACAGGAAATACATTTTCTCACTTATTAGGTACCTAAATGCAATTACACTAGTATGACTTTTTTTATAATATCAAATGACGGGACGAACAAGTCGTGCGCCTGATGGTAAGCTACACGCCTGTCCATAACAGTTGCACTGCTACTCAGAGCTTCAAATCGCAAAGATCTGAGGGGCACTGCCACTGTGCCTGTCATCCTGAGACATAAGTTGACAAGTCCCATGTGCCTGTAATTTCATCAGCAACCTAAGAGTCGTATTCTAGAACTCTACTCAATGCTCAAGTCAGGATTTGAGTATGGTTTAAAGCACTCGAAATCATACTCAAGTCCCTGCCATTAGGTTCGTATTTCCAGTGCCTGAAATCATACTCAGATCCTGACTTGAGAATTGAGTAGAGTTCTGGAATACGGCCCTTAAACTCTCCTCCTAAGTCTTGCCTAAGATTTCACTTCCTTAATATTACGAACTTGAAGCACAATAATAGCTATCTAATTTTGTTTACTATCACCAATTCAATTTTGTGAATAGTCTTATTCCGATACATTCATGTTTGTATGTTGAATGTCTTGGTAATTTGTTATGGAAAAGTTTGTATGTGCTAATTATAGATATTAGTGTCAGTATTTTATGATCTCACAAATTTTTGCCAACGTCTTCAGCCTCGTTCAATTTGTAACAACAGGCATATGAATATCATAATAATATCAATATTATAGTTCAAGAATTCTATTGTCGTTTTGTATATAAACAACTTGACCGATTTTATATTTCACCTTAACAATAATTACTTCTTTTTTTAATTGATTGCGATGATTTTATTCTTATTCGAGATCAATATTTTCAACGTGGCAATTGACCTACCACAGGATTGAATGGCAACGAGATACTTCGGTTGATAATGCGTGAAGGTCAGCGCTTGACTGCGCCGAATGCCTGCCCACCTGATATGTATATGCTGATGATGCAGTGTTGGGACCTTAGCCCTAAGGAGAGACCCACATTTGTTGGTATACAAAGGTACTTGGAGACCAATAAGCTGGAAACTGCTACATCTGTTCTTAGGTAAGTAGTCACTTCTTTTGACGTCGTTTCGTCTACCCTATTTCGTCTTGTGCTCGAGGCGGTTAGCGCGTAGCGAATTTGACTGGCATTTGTCATTATTTTTAAAGAAACTTCAGTACTGCTAGGCAATAACAAGGACAAAAATCTTTCCATGAATATTAAAAGTGTGTCATGTGATATCGGAGTTGTTATCGGATTTTTTCAACGAAGTTCTAAGTTAACGATAGTCTTATAAAAGGTCACAGACCTGACCACTCATATCACACAAGTCTACAATTACCTATATAAGTGTGAATATAAGTGAATTATGTCCTATAGTTGATAATAATAACAAATTGTTTCATAAATATAATATTTGCATTTAATCTAAAAAGTTTAGTTTATTTTTTTTTTTTTCGTTAAATTATCTGTTTAAATAATACGTAATATTTTTCGGTACATTTATAGAAAATAAACAAGTTTAGTTGAGTTATATTAGTTCAAATCTAGTTTAGAATCACTTCCTTTAATTGACTACAGAATAAGTTAACGTAGAAAGTCTCTTCTTATTACGTATAATTAACCCATAATCACATCGTGTCTCACGCTTATAGTATCGAAATCTACAATGAAACAATAGATCTCAATCCAAGATGCGTTCTTGCAAGCGATAGCGTTTATTCCATAATTTATAACTCATGCTCTCATCCTTGATCAACCAAAAGTTTCGTTAATTTAATTCGGGTCTTTATTTAGCCATTGTTAAGGAATATTTGTCGCAGTTTACGCGCTTGTCAGACACTTCGGCCACCGCAATAAAGCAGCAGTATCTTGACACAAAACGCTATTATCTATGTGATCGAATTCTTCCTTCGTGATATATTGCGACGAACATTTAGTGGTTATTCTAACAAGGTAACCCTGAAAATATAAGGTGTATACGACCAATCTTCTTGAATAAAGGGAAAGACACATTTTAATATGACAAACAAATGAATAAATTTATTAAAATATTTTTTTTAAATATTTGATAACATTCCATACATTGCTCTGATCCCAAAATAAGTAAGTAAAGTACTTGTATTTTTTTTAATCGGAAACAACAACAGTACCACAAATATCTAGACACGGAACTGTGTAGAAAAGTTAGTTTCTACACTGACCCGGTCAGGCATCGAATCCGGTATCTCAGAGATGATGACACCATGAAAACCGGTGTGCAAGACACTCGACCACGGAGGTCGTCTAATAAGCAAATAAATAAATCTCTTACAATCAAAATATTGATTGTCAGATATTATTGTTGTTATTGATATTAACAGCTACAGAAAGCAAGGCCAAATGACAATAGAAGCAGGCGATGCCATCATTCTCATAGACAGAAGACCAGAACTACATTGGTGGAAAGGACAGAATCAAAGAACCCTGGAAGTTGGACTATTCCCGAGGTAACGTTGTTTGTATTTTGTTCATAGACATAAAAAAGTCACAAAAAACTATAAATTGTAGTCGTATTATTTTCCTATATTTACTATTCTAGTTACTTCAAAATTATTCAAATTATCATTAATTATCTTATATTAACGTTATTTTACCAATGTGATAAACTATATATTGATTGCTTGACAAGCCAGTGCTTCAATGTACATTTAAATAAGTTGTCTGAAGCGGAATCTACGATTTCAAGGGGCAGCTGGTTGTCGGGCCCAATACATGTATAAATTGTGTGTTCATTTAGCTATACCACTGAAAATGTAGCTAGAATAATTTACTAGGAGAAGCTATTCCCCACCTTCTAGATTTGTACCTGTAATGTATATCACAATAATAATAACAAATTCTTCGCAATTACTACACCTTGGAAATAACACTATTTTATTTTTATTTTTTTTACAGCTATTACTTTGCGACTTATGTAGTAGGTTAGATTGATTTGTGGTTTTAAATTTAATGCACAGCTAAACACCTCATGCAAAAAATTCCAAAACAAGCCTTATTAATTTAACTATACATTATTATTAAAAACAAATTACTACCTACGTCTATGCAATGAAATGCTGTTTATTTTATTTTAAAATTTTTCAAAAACAAAGGCATACAATCTCCGTGGTACGTCCAAATATTTACTATGAATAATTATTATAAGTTACTAATTCTGTATATGGGTGAGTTCGTACCGAATTTAGTTCTTCGAAGAATTGGACAGCCCTTCGGTTCTAAATTGCGTGTATTTGTTTTTTTAAACAAACTAACATTTCGGGTTCTTCATAGGTCGCTTGGTCACGGCTGTACGCAATTTAATCACATTTCCTATGTAATAATAGTATATGTATAACACATTACACCACAGTAGAATAAAACAAGTAGGGTAACTCCGTACAAAAAATGTATTCGCAACCTCAGCGCGTCATGTACGGACGAACACATTCGCATAATAATGAAAGGCACGTTGGGACGACCAGTGTCACAGTGTCGTAAGATTATGCAAATGTGTGCGTCTGTACACGGCGCGCGGTGGGCGTGCACACATACAAGCCTCGCTGCAACGTTTGTATGGAGTTACCATACTTGTTGTTATTTTACTATGTTATAACTGTATCCTCTTGGAGTGCCATCTCCTACCGTAGGTCGGCTATCATTATAGATATTTGAGTTCGTGAACTTCGGCTCAGAGTGGTTCTGTGATACTCATGTTGCACCATTCTGCATGATTTTGAAGCCATGTGGTTATTCTACGACCACGTTTTCTGCGGCCCTGGATTTTTCCCAGCAGAATGAGTTTCACTAGAGATTATTTATCTCTCCTCAGCAACTTACATGGATCGATGTATAGTTTTCAAATACATATTCCAAGTTTGTCTTTACGAAATGTATATCATAGTTGTGATCAAATTCAAATAGCCTTGGCTATGTTTGATTACGTCACACGTTTATTAAATCAACGCCGTGAAACGTTTTATAATCTTTGATATACATTTACTTTCACTCTCATTTTTGTGTTAAAGTAAGTGTTAATGAAGTTACTTAAGCTATTGAGTCTTCAAACACTTTGTTCTAAATATGAGTTTACAAGCACTTGAATCCAAGTTACAACTAAGTACATATAATTATTCCTGGAAAACTGTTTCATGGAAATAAAGTGGTAAAAATTTAATTGGCTTTTCGCTTCTTTGAGTAAGTAGTTAGTTTATAGAATACAGCCGGTGCCGTGACTTCGTCTGCTGTTCTAATAAGTACTTCGAGTAGCCTATACGTGAGGCGCACTATAAGTTTCCGGAATGAATAAGAAAAAAATACTATAAATGGTCAGAAAGAATTTATAGTTTCTCAAAATATTCTCCGTTATCGTTAATGCACTTTTTCGTACGAATGAACAAATTTTAGAGACATTTATGCTACTCTTCCGTGACAATCTCTGAAACGTATTTTTCATACTCTTCGACAGCCTCTCCAGGTGATGAAAATCGTTGACCGCGTAACTGGTTCTTCATTTTTGGAAATAAATAAAAGTCAGAAGATGCCAGGCGGGACTGTACGCGGGATGGCTCATAAGGTCAACGTTGTTCACCTTTAAAAATTCATTTGTCTGTCTGGCCGTGTGAGAACGGCGTTATCGTGGTGCAAGATGATGCGGCGTTTACGGTTATATTTACGGAGTTTGTCAATAACTTCCGGCAAACAAATGGTCGTGTACCAATCACTATTCACGGTACAATGATTCTCCAAAGCAACAGTAGCCACGTGTCCAGTTTTATTAAAAAAAGAAGCAATCATCCGCTTAGAGGCACTTTGCACGCGCGCCACTTTGGTTGGTTTCGGCTCGTCTCGAAAGACTCATACGCTCGATGGCTGCTTTGTTTAAGGACCGTAACTATAAATCCATGTGTCGTCACCTGTTACTATGTCCCACACCAAGTTTGACGCCCCTTGGTTAAGCCCTTTGGTAATCATGGCATTGCACCAAGTGACGCGATCCGTTTTTTGAGCCTCAGTCAAATTGTGTGGGTTCCACCGAAAGCACAAGTTTTTCACAACCCAAATGTTTGTGTAATATTGGTTGTATTTGACTCATGCCTATGCCTAAAGATGCCCGAATCTCATGGTATGTCACATGCCTGTCTGTTTTGATCATACGGCGCACAGCATCGATGTTTTTGTTGTTCACAGCAGTGTACGGGCGACCATCATAAATTCGTCACTGAGAGTCACACGACCGCGTTTGAATTCTGCAAACCAGCTATAAATAGTCGTCTAGCATGGTGCTTCATCGCCAAAAGCAGTTTGAAGCCGAGCGAAGCTCCGATGCGCTGTTAAATTATATTTCAAGTCGTAGAAAATCATACTACGAAAATTTTCACGAGTTAAATTCATGGTGATGTAGCTAAACAATTTCTAAAATGACGCCACAATGTAAAAACTAGTGACAATCAGATGAAACAAACTGTATTCTACAACTAAAGAGTTCCATTTTCAAATGTTGTAATTACCTTTTAAATATTGTTTAAGTAAGTGACCAGTTCCGGAAACTTATAGTGCGCCCTATGTACTACTGTAATCCCCTATTTCATCCCAATTAAAATTTATTTTTGTGACAAAAATAGCGCGCATAAGATTTTCTTATCGAATACCAAAATTCAACAAAATTAGTTCAGCTGTTTAGGCGTGAAAATGTGACAGACAGACGAAAGTTACTTTCGCATTTATAATATTTTGGATCATAATATGATGATTTCGCGTTTTTTCTGATTTCATAAGAAATTTACTTAAACAGGAATCTAACTTTGTAACTCGAAATCCGGTCAGAAATTCCTATATTTCCTAGGTTTCAAATTATACATGTTTAGGTTATTATGTTTGTCAAAACACAACAACACAAAATATTTTTAGATATTGAATTTTGAACTGCAAAGTAAATTACTTGCTTCGTTTTCAGCACCGTGGTGACCGTAGCGAAAAATAAGATCACCCACGCAACAAAGAAGACCCAAATACTATCGCCCGGCAGAAAACGTATGTTACATTTTTATATTCAATAATTCTACTTCCAGGTATCAATTATTCTTATGAATATTCATGTTATGACTTCATGATATAATATCGGAAGAAAGTATAGACGTAGAGCGAGCGTCCGTTCCGCATCACAGAACGTAACTTTTTCTCCATTAACGTTTAAACTACATTCATTTTAGTATATCTTTACAGTTGTATTAAGAAGAAAGTTATTAGAAATTAATATTAATGTGTGTATTATGAATGCAAAGACCAAACAGAAAACAAATTTAAGGTCAAGGTCACAAAAAATTGTATAATTATTTTTAATCTTATTTTTCGTTTATTGTAATGATTTTAATCGTAATAAATATCAGTTACTCGTACAGTATACCGGCTGTATACAGTCTTTACGTATTGGACAAATTAAATTACATGTTTAGAGATTGTGCAGCTAATTGTTCATCAAGCAATATTGATGGGTAAAACAATTTATTACGGTATTTTATAATTGAAAAAATAAACATATATTAATGATTATATAACGCGTACACACAATAATATAGCGGGTGCCATGGACACACACATAGAGAACCACAAATTACAACCAAACTCACGAGATAAATAAATATAGGCCATACAAATATTTCTCCCGGCTCCGGAATCGAACCCGAGACCTCTGCTGGCAGTCCAGCATTGTAACCGTTCGAGCACAGAGGCAGTAAAATTGTTTATTATGCATTATACAAAAAACGACAAGGAACAGATTCTGTAGCTCACGTGACGTTTACAAGAGTCTCCTTAATATTGCGTTTTTAATATTTACGTATTTATTATTCTTAGATTTTGATCTAAGCATGACTCGCGTGACCTAACACTTTTCCTGTCGCCGTTGAAAGGGAAATTAAACCTACATTTATGCGTAGGTTATTTAATGTTGCGGTTAAAACAATCTCAAGTGTTATTTATTATGAGTAAGGAAGTCGTTTGCTATAAAATGTGATTAATAGTAAAGCGGCAATGATAATTCTACAAAAAAATATCAAAATGAAACTTTTTTTTCATACAAACCAACGTTTCGGGCTCGTTGGTTTATTTGGAAAAACAAACGAATCAAAATAAAATAAAACAAAATAAATCCGGAAAAATAGTTTCATTTCCTGTGTGTAACAATGGCGAAAACCTAAGAACTCGATAAAATATCAAAAGTTCTTAAAATATTTTAGATCAAAGTCCATTGTTTCTTCTTTAAAGACCTTCACCATCCTTCATCTTCTAAGCGCTTTGAACTTCATTCCGGCATTAATTTGTTCCTCGACCTACCCATTACAATTCCTAAAAATATTCTCCCCATTTACCGAATACGCTGCTCGTTTGTGAAACCTTCTCATAGTTAAAGATAGTCTCCTTTAATTCGAACTTTCAGAACTTCTTTATTTAAACTCCCGGAATGGAACCCCTGAAGTTACAGAATCCTGAGTATAATAATGATTGAGTTATAATAATTTTTATGGTTCTATAAAATGTTTACATACATTTCATTTCTGTGCAGTCTTTTAGGTACGTTTACGTAGTTGCTATTTGATCGATGCAGCTCATTTGGTGTACTTAAATAATAATATTATATAGCCTATATATTGTCCCACTGCAGGGCACAGACCTCCTCTGACTATGAGAGGGCTTAGGCTGTAGTTACCACACGGGTCTAATGTGGATTGGGAACTACACACACATCATTAAAGTTGCAGATGTGTGCAGGTTTTCTCACTATGTTTTCCTTTTCCGAAAACCTCATATTTACTTTGTATCGTCTACTTTTACCGTTGTGTTTAACATTATTATTGTTAAAAATACCTGTATAAATACTTCAATGATCGATGCTTTATGTATGCGTGAATTTCATGCTATGCACTTGTGTATGTAGGTAATACTGTCACAAGACGCAAATAGCATTGAAAATCGCTAATCTATGACGACATGACTAATTGTATTATGGGTTTCCGACAAACATGTCACCCATGTGTGTATCGGAGGCACCTTTATTATCATAAGTTATAGTTATATTGTTATCTTGCTTGATATTTTTCGTGAATGGTCGATTGTCCGTCAAAAAGGAGTGGGCCCTTACGGTATATGTATATTTGATTTTGTTATCTAATAGAATTGAAATTCATTGGAAATTCTTCGAATGTTGACACTTTAGCTACATTTACTTGTGTATTCTGAGAAGTTATTTTTGATAAGTTGCTGACAAAAATACTTTATGAAACGTAGTGTACAAAATTTATGTTACTGTTTATGTAAACGTTAATATACTTAATGAGGTAACTAAGGGCCGGGGCAAACCGACGACCATTGAATTTATGAATGCATATTTTATGCTATTTTAATCGAAATGGCTTCGTTTGAGAGGAGGCCCGTGCCCAGTAGTGGGACGTATAAATGAGTTGATATTGTATATTGCTTAATTGAAATAAGGTATAAATTTCAATGCTCTGAGACCTACCTCAAAGCATTGCATTGAAGAGCACGCAAGAGAATACCGCAGCGGGAGGTGTCAGTATGCCACGATATCTACCGGTGTGCGCCGGAGTCTGCCAGAATGCGGGGACTACGTACTTTCGACTACGTAGTCGCTGTTTAGTGGAACGGATTCAAATCCAACATCAATCATCACTCAAATCAGGGGGTCTACTCTCGATCTCCGTCCGACATCCGTCCGAAACAATTACTGCCTGCTGCCTGCTTAATTGTTTCGGACGGATATCCGACAGAGGTCGAATGTAGACCCCCAGACTGTGTCACGCTGGCTGACGCTCGCGGCACCGTAAGAGCGCGTGTATACGCTAAGAAAAGTCGCCGGGTCTATGCAAGGTCGTGTCGTTTCTACACACGAACTGTGTACACAGCCTCGGCGCCGGACAAGAAAAAAATCTTGTCTACCCCAGACGCGACGCGCTTTGCCGCTATTGCATAGGGCGCATTGTCAGTAAACGAACGCTTAGGCGGGTGGACTGATTTTGCAAAGTACCACTGTTGCACCACTAATTTCATTGCGACTAATAAAATGCATGATTTATTTATAAGTTTAGTAGAGGAACGACTCGTATTGTGGGACAGAACCTTAGAGATTTATAAAGATAAACGACGTACTTTTGAGGCATGGAGAGAAATATTTATTAACATATAATTTTATAATAATTTATGATTTGCAATCATCATTTTTTTAATTAGTAGTCAACATATTTCTTCACACAGTCGGTAGTAAAACGACAGCTACCTGGAAGTGCACTGACACGTTTACCCTATACACGTCTGCCCGAAAGCATTCGTATCGTGTACATACGCATCATTTTCTTGTCTGCAACAGACACGAAATATTTTCGTGGCTAGATCCGATAAAATTCTTATCGTGTACAGGGCCATTCTCGTCTTTTCTGTTGCAGACACGACAGATTTCTAAGCGTGTACACGCGCTGTCAGGGATATCCCTCACTGGCGGGAAAAAGATCTTCTTGGACGCTCTTCCCACACCTTTGTGACATTACAGTTAATAAATATATTAACATGCATACACAAAAACTAAGCTATAAATATATAGCTTAGTTTTTGTGTATAAACTGCAGTTATTCCCAGAACTTAAGATAAATGAATATGTACATGTCCCTAAAAAAAGTAATTGCTGCTGCGTTCTGTACCCATTATATCGTAAATTGATGATTAGATACATCTTATAGTTTTGACTATTGTAACCAGGACTTGCGCTAGGTAGTAGCTTGTCGAGGACGAAGCAGCATTATGTTCTTGGCTCCAACACTCAGCAAAATTTAAATGGAATCATATACAGTTTCAGGTCCACCCCGACCAACAAGCTCTCCACCAACATCATGCCCCGTCATGAACGGTTCTTTAGATGACAGCCTAGTGTTGCGCCAGAGACGTACCATAGAATCGACGCAACCGACGTCCACGCGCGGCGGTAATACCGGCAGCAAGCACTTTAACTATAATAAACTCGTCAATGAGCGGGCTGCAAGATACGCTCAAGGTAGAGGCCTCAATCGATCTGGTGAGAACTCGGTTTTATTCTTATTTATTTTAATATAGAAAACTAGAGCTTAAATAAGCTCGCTTCTAGCTGTCATTGTGATGTTCAATTGGTCAAATATATAAAAACCACGAAGACCTAACTGTGGTTATACATTCGGTCCTAATTAGGATATAACTAAAGCTCCGATCTAATTTTCTTTTAGTTGCACGTGTTCAAGCCTACAAATATATTCAAAGTAAAGATGTTTCTGCGTAACGCACTATATTCGTACTCGTATTATATAAAAACTTTTTATAAAGAAAATTCACGGTAATCCGTACTCTGAAGCTATTTTTGTCTCTAACGAGGTTGTCGGGGTTATGGAAACACTCCGTGCAAAAGCAGATTACTGGAATCTTTAGATTGGAGCTATTTTTAGATGGCATCACAATACACGCTTTTTGCACATTTTGTTCTTGACAAAACTTGAGATAATACTTACTCACACTTATTAAAGTAATATTAATAACTACCCTAATCCCACTGCCGGACAAAGGCCTCCTCTTACAATAAGAGGACTTTGGCTGTAGTACCCACGCGGGCCCAATGTTGATTGGGAACTTTGCACACATTAAATTGCTTTGCACATGCGTGCATTGCCTTCGGAAGAAAGAACGGCACAAGCAGCAAATTTTAAATATTTCGTGTTTAAATATGTTTTAGGTTTTTCTGTTAAAAGTAATAGTTAAAATATACATTTGATATTAGTAGTTTTATATTATACCATACCATACAACACGTTTTATGTAAAAGCTTTCATTGTATTTTAGTCAGCCGTTTTTAAAAATACCTTCATTTTCTCTTTTAGCTTAGTAGAAAAATCAAAAATCAAAATATTATAACTACATATAAAAGCTATAACTAATTTACAAGTGACTGTTAATACTTGACTCATGAATAAACTAAAGGACGCAATTGTATTCAGTTGTGCCTTTTTCATGTTGTTTATTATATATTGTAACAGAACTACATAATAAGAGCACAGTTCCGTACGTTACTTTTGATATTAGTGTTTTTAACGTAATAAATTTCAGATATGCCTTTTATTGTAAAAAAATCAGATTATTTAGGTCAATTATTTAAGTCAATAATTTGAGCTTGCTGTATATTCAAGAATTATTGAGATATTTCCACAAAAAATTTGTTAGATTGACCGTTATTTCCTGATCCAGAATTAAATTTGGTAAAAATGTTAGTTACTTGTGCTCTTTTTCGTTCCAAGGGCAGTCATATGTTTTCCTTCACCGAAAAACTAAATAATAAATTTCAAACATATAAATTAGTAATAGTAAATTTCAAACTAAATTTCGCACTTAAATTCAGAAAACTCAGACGTGCAAAACCCGGATTCGGGTTTTCGACCTCCTATTCTGAGAGTCTGTAAGTCGAACCGTTAGGCTACCACGGCTACTTACACAGTATTCATATCGGACATAAAAAAATAACAAATTATTTACAAAACGGTTTATCAACAAGACAAACTTACTATTAGGTTAAGGTCGATGCAGGTATTGTAATAAATCATAAGCGTGACATTGCAACAAATTTTCATGGGCGTGACGGTTGACATTATACAATATTCGTAACAAAAGTTAGTAATTAGTTTTAATTTTATTTAAATCTTCATTCCAGTAAAGGAAGATCTGTTGATCGACCTGGACCTCCCGCCAAGCACCAGGCCGGCGACCATGAGTTCCGCCAGTATGAGCATCTCCATTCTCGACGAGCCCATCGATGTACCTCAAATTAGTGAGTTTAATTTCTACTTATGGTTTTGAGCCGTTTTTCTAACACGCTTATCTTGTTATTCACAAACATAATTATGGTAATTGTCTGAGTCACCAAATGTATCACACATACGATACGTGACTATAGAAACAAATATATATTAAAATCTTAAAAGCATTTATGCAGAGGAGATAAGCATATGGGGCCAACAAAAAAGGCCCTTATGCTACTTTTCCTATTACATCGTCGGCAAATTATATAACCTTGTAACTCCATTTTTGGACAAAATTTCTTTTTTACTCTTCAGGAGCATTATTGGGCATTAGACCTTAAAATACACATTCTAAATATAGATTCAGAAATATAGATTCTGTTTTTTGTGCCTCAAAAATGTACATTAATGGAAGGACGAGGTTCACTAATTTAACCGACGAAATCTTTATTATAATATCGATGTATTGTGTATTCATAAAAAAAATATACCTATTATTTTTACAGTTCAAGAGTCGGACTGGGGCGAGCCGAATTTCGAAAGTTTTCCAACATATCCAAACAACCAGAACAAGACAAATCTCTACGGTGCTAAATCCCTCGACAGCCTAGTTATGAACTCCACCACAATCGGGCAGATGTCACTCCAACATGATCCCTTCGACACCTCGAAGTTGTGGCCCGTCGACAAACAAGGTCTTAGTCCTAGGTCAAATTATAGTATACAAGTAGACTCTAGTACACCTCAACGCAACACAGAATCTCAATTATACTCAAATAATAAATATGCCGCGTCTACTAGCGCAGACGCCACTCGAATGTACAATAATGCGGCAATAAGTAGTAATAATTCGGTGACGCCAAATAATTCTTCCATATATAACACAACTTCCAACTCATCGTATACAAACACGAATGCTCTCTCCATGGAAAGAAATAAAACTACATACGAGCCGACGTTAGCTGGTACCCTAGCACAAATGTCGCTGGACGATAGAATTTCCGAATCATTGAATCTCAGGTCTAAAAACACAAACAATGATAATATTTACGCAAACAGTCCCAGTAATTATTCGAACAGCGAAGCGCCGAGCACCTCAACAACTCAGCCAAATAATCATCGGTATAAAGACATCCCTATTTACAACAATTTTGATTTGAACACTGTTGAGCAGCAATTTATATTAGAAACAAAAGACTACTACACAAAGTCTTCGACTCCCTCGGAAACGAGAGCAAGGAACGACTACGAGAAGAACATTTACGTCCCCAAGAACGAAGAAGGGGAAAAATTAAAGAATTTTAGTGAATCTCTAGAGAATTCTAAGAATTATTCCGCAATAAAGTATCAGAATGTTGATTACGGTCAATATTTCTACGCAAGTAGTTTTGGGTCGGTGGCGGGATCAATGTCGCGACCTGAGGATCAATACGATATAGTTAATGATACTGCCAGTAATTTTTATAGCGAAATTGGAGAGTCTAGTCAAAGAATATACGGTAACCAGGCGCAGTATAGTTTGTATGACGAAGTATTCGAAGCACCAACGCCTCGTCCACACCGACCTGCACCGCCCTGTCCAAAACCTAAATAAATAGATATGGATTACATGAATAATTATAATTTTAACAAGATTTACTTTGACCACCTAACCAGAAAAAAAATTAAACATTGCTTTTAATGCGAAATTATTGTATTATCAAAACTATCATACTATACCAACCCAATTCCAAATCTTAGAAAATTATTTAAAAATTCGCATGTAAAATTATGTGCAAGTTCTCGTTTGGTAGGTATCATTGCGCTATTATGAATACCCAATTACAATATAAATAATGATCTTACTTTGTAAAGTAAAAATATGTTATTTAAAAAAAAAGAATTGAACTGTCAGTATTAGACTTGAAGGCTACTGTCAATATGATGATTACTTTGGTGCCATTATGTTAAGATATTAATGGATGAGTGGATTTTTATTTTAAAACTACCCAATTATGAGAAACGAGGCACTTTTTATTTATGATCAAACTTACAGACGCTTGATTATTATCAATAGTTACAGGTTTCATACCACAGCAGTGGCCACGGAGAGTAGTAGATATATAATACGATAATTGATACCGTAGTAAAAAAACCTGTAACCAAATATGAAAGTCTTACAATTTAGTAGCTAACATTGTCTCGCTTACCGCGTTAAGGCGAACGATAGCAGCACGGCATTATAATTTCCAATTTAAACCACTGTTTGTACTAAAAAAAGACAAACTAAAAGTTAGTAGTAACTTTGAGACAATGTCACTGTCATCGTTCTGATTTTCGTTAAACGTATTTACTTTCGTGTTCTTTGAATTTTATATTCAGGATTTTACTTCTTAAATGATATTATCTACGTCCTTTTATTAGTAATCTAATTTTCGTTCTTTTTTTTCTTTTAGTTTTAAGGCTTTTAATTTTTAGTATTTTTACTTTACAGACGAATAATTGAGAGAAGAATTGATTATTTGTGTAGTTTGTTTTTGTAATTTTTGGTGTCTGTTACTTTTACAGTTGTAGCTTATATTTATTTCTTGTGTTTTGTTTTCACATTCGGACAAGCATCACACGGTGTCTCGCCGTAAAGTACCTGTTAGATTAATTCTCGAACTATTGGTAGATATGATAATTTGTATTGTTTGTGGGTGAGGCTTGTGCAGTATAGTCTAATGCAGCGCTTAGTCATGTTGCCACATGAGTTATTCTGAAACACCTGAAACCGTTTGAATTAAATTCCTTGTGAACAAATTCTTTATTTTACCTTTTTTGACAACAATTATTAACTGCAAGAAGAATGAATTGCGGCCCAAGTAAAAAGTTATATAGTATGAGACTCTTTAAACGTGGTTTCTGGGACATTTGGTTGAGGTTAGCACAAACGCAACCGTTGACTCAAAGCAGAGACGAGCATTGAAATGTCACATAAATATTCAATATACATGCTCTGTATTGAGACGGCCAGTTAGTTAGCCTTTGGCTAAGGAGGCGCTCTATAGTCATCAATTTTTTTTGCCATGGTGTTCAAATAACAAATAATAATTTCCCCACATTTAGTAGTATAACTGCTAAATGGGCAATGCTATAATATATAATATAATATAATTCAGCGGATCAGTCTGCGCATTACGTAGCGTTATTCGTATGCTGCCCAAGGCCTAAGGCTCAATTCACACTGGCGCACAGCCGAAGCGTCGCGACGCGTCATGTTTTTCGCTAGTTGAAAAACAGGACGCGACGCGACGCTTCGACTCTGCGCCAGTGTGAGTTGAGCCTAAAAGTTTTAACGATAATTTGTAACACATTAACAATAGTACCAAGAATAATGTCGGCATAGAATAAAAAAAAAAATAACCACAACCTTCTTCCAAAGCGCTACGTGAAGTTGAATTTTGCAATTTGTAACAAGAAATTTAATTCATTTTCTTAAAAATGATGATGATGTAATTCCGGATTACAGTTATTATTACTGCATGTTTCAATGTTATTTTATTCGTCTTAAGAATAAAAAGAAAAGAATGGACAGTTTTTGTTAAGCGTTTATACAAGTTTTCTGCTACTTAATATTGTTACTTGTATCTGTAAAAGGTGCACTTGGACTGTAAATAGCAATAACCTTCTGAATATGTATAATACGTGAGTGTAAGATAATAATAAAAACATCTATTTTCAAATCTAGTTTTTGTTTTTATTTCCGTATAACTAATTACAAAGTGCTTAATACCAATTAGGATTGGACTCCATTGTCAGAATTGCATTGATCTGATGTGTCTTTTGTGTGAAATATGTCAGTCGGTACTGAATACTGGCGAGGCGGCTCTACTCGGTACCGACTGATCAGTACCTAATTCCACGTGGCGAGCTTTTGACCGTGTACGCATGCTATATAGCAGTAACGGAGAACGGCGTCAAAATAATTAAATAGGACTAATTTCAGAATACTAAATTTATTCCGCTACTAAGTTACGGCCACTTCAACGCTATGACCATTACGCTACGACCTCTACGCTACAACTGTATGATGTACGTAATTGTTATAGTTGTTAGGATGTCGTCACCTGTGTAAATCTACTCTACCTACGTAATAAAAGTTTTCATAAACAAGAAATGTCATTTGACAAAAACTTAAAATTCCAATGTATTACATAATTCAACTTTGCTAAGGGACAAAAAAATACGATAATAAATCGCTTTCTTTATGCGATTGACGTAACTAGAGCTATGTAAAAGCTTCCTTTACTTTTCACAAGCTTTAAGGTAAAAGCATACCAACAATATCATAATTAAATTACTAGTTTTATTCCACCAATTTTTGTAGTACCTTCGAATGTCGCAAAAACAACAAATATTTTTTCGTCATTCGTAAAACTATGTTATGGCTTCCCGTAGACCATTTCCGATATTTTTTGTCACGCGAGTTGTTTCACTTTTCTTTACCTTTGATAATGTTTGTTTCTGCGTTATGATAATAATGTTTTAATGTAATAATAACTATCTATATGGACCGGGCTAATTCGATGTGGAGAATGCGAGAAATCAAAGATTTTGCAAACGAATGTCAAATGAACGTTCCGTCAGACTTTTAGAACATCGATTTATTAGACGCAAATACGACCAATTTTCGGTGATACCGATTTTTTATTGCTTCAATGCACATTTTGTCGAACGTTTCATTTTCCACTGGCATTGGATGATTAGGCATTTAACCGATATTTGGTTCGAGTTTTTGAAGAAAGTGCTTTACTAGTACCTATGGGATTCATGTTGTTGTTATATTTTTCTGCAAAAACCCTTTTCCTTTACACCGTGCGCAACAGCTTTGCCGCACGTTATCTAGTGTGGTAGACAACCGTAACATGTTTGCGCTGCACTGGCATAGTCCTCAGTCACCGACATATTCTGATTATTTATTTTTATTAATTATTAGTTTCTTTGGATTTTTTAAATAGTATTGTCATGTTATTTTTTAATTTAGGTAATTACCTATTTGTGGTTTACGTAGTTTTGCATGTCAAATAAATTTTATTTTATCATAAGTATGTAAATTATATTAATAGCATAATAATTATGTAATGGAAAGTACTTGTAACCAATGAGTGTGTTGTTTTAGATACAAAGTCGTTATAAAATATTTAGTGTGAAATATTTTAAAGTTGACGAGGTTACATGAAAAGCGACTAATGTGAAGGAACATAGGGAATATCGATCGCAATCAGTTCTTGGTATTCTGTAAATCTCACGACCTAAAAGTTGCAAAACCGCAGAAACAGTCGGACCGGTGCGATGAGAACGGCTTCACAAAGGTAGAGAAGAGATAGAGAAAGCCCGACAGCCCGTAACCTTTGTGGTACAGCACCCAAAGGAACGAACTTTCCGCTGCGTCCGGCCATACCGACGACGCTGCTGTACCAGTCGTGTCTGTATTACTTCACGAAATCTGAGGAGATAGTGGAGTACATCAGACTAAAGGCCAAATACACCCTGAGGGCCGAGCGGTTGGAGTGAATTTTAATTCGTTTATGGTGAGAGTGCCGACCGAATATCTGTCGACCTTCATAAAGGAGGACTTTTGGCCGAAGGGAGTCATATCGGCGATTCTGTGGCCGGTTACCTGACACAAGATTGCGCCACGTTGCTGACCGGTGCAATTCATGTAGTTATTTAGTACAAATAGTTTTTTTTATATTGTACGTATGTTAGTACTTAAGGTATATATTATATGAGTGCTGTGGTTGGAATTAAATAAATGAATAAAATTATCGAAATGATGTCGCACGCGATGACGCAATTCAAAAATATATTTTTTTCGCATCACAACATCACAACAACTTTATAAGGTAAAAAACTAAATTAAGTCAAAATAGACTAAAAACTTTTTATCGGTTTCTCATTAACAGTGATCGGAATAGGTCGAGTTTATTTTCCTAAACTTCGAGGAACAGAGACATAAAGTGGAGACTGCCTTGCGACTTACTTTTTTTGTCCCGGATTTTTTCGGGATTCGAGAAATCCCTTAAATAGATTAAAAATTGACATTATTTGGGATAGGTAATAAGTAGACTATATCTATCAAAACTTTGCGACGAGTTCAAAAAAGAATCCAATGCAAAATAGACAAGCTCATCGATTGCGCCATTATTTATTTAGAATGGAAAGGAAGCTGGTGAAATTGCATGCACATGGGACTTGTCAACTTATGTTTCGGGGTGACGGGCGCAGTTTCTGTGCCCCTAAATTCTTTGCGATTTAAAGCTCTAAGCGACACTGCAACTGCTATGGACAGGCGTGTCGCTCACGACTTGTTCGTCCCGTCACTCGGTATCATAAAGTAATGTAGGTAATGAATGTTGTTGTAAGAAAAGGGTTCAGTTAACTTAATTTAATTAGAAGTTATTCAGTTTATTGAATGTCAAAAGGTTTACCACCATGTTAATAAATTATTTTTAACCAACGTCAAAAAAGAAGGAAGTTCACAATTCGACTGTATTCTTTTTGCATATTACGCGATAACGACTCGTGAACCAATTTTGATGATTCTTTTTTGTTGACAAGTTTGTCAGTATTTGTCCCATATATTTTGATTTGATTTGAAGAAAATATTCCATCTCTAAGGGTGGCAAACAAGGGGATGAATTCGGGTTTGCGCACTTTCCAGCAACCGACTTCAATAAAACTTGGCCGATAGATGTAATTCCACGAACTTTTGAGGTCGGTTTTTTTAGTACTCTGTACTGAGATTATTGCGAAATTATTCCACTAGTTCGTTATAATTATAATATACATATATGGAAAGCTATCGCTCGTCTAGATTCTTTATGCCATTCATTTGAGATAACAAAATCGATACCCTCAGGTCCAACGCACATATTTTTATAAGGACCAATATTTTGACAAATTTTCGTTACCAACCACAAACCAAACCAAACCAAAACCTTTCAGCTACGTCCTACCGCTAACACTATATAGCTGTAAATAAATAGCTATAGAGCTATAAGCGAGCACAGACAGCCTTAAAATGTTTGTGAATCTCAACAATATTGTAGGTAGTTTCATCAAACGACCTTGATCTTATGTTTTTCAAAACTATTTAAATACATTACGTTTTTGTGTCGTATCAGCCGTTCATAATTACATTAATACAGTACCGATGTCACTACAGTATGACGACAGTCTTGTTAATGACGTAATACAAGATGTTACGCAATTATATGAATAATACAAATTAATATTTTACACTTCTCGAAATACATCGGTCATGCTATGCCCATAGGACGTGACAGAAGTCAGACGCAGCTTACTAGTAAATTAAACGCAATTAAGTAAGTCAATGCGCAATTCAGATAGAATTCCTAGATCGACCGAACTTCGTAACAGCTGTAATAAAAACGTTATGAAAGAGAGATGACCGATATCACCATATTTATTTCTGCACATAAAGTTTTTAGTGTCATGTAGATAAATACCATAAAAATAAGTACTTAACGAGTGAATTAAGGCCTATTCGATACTTATACGTATATATTTATGTAGATACTTTCGTTAACGCTGTATGTGGTATGTGGTGTTCAAATCTAAGCGGACATCACTATCGCTGTGGGTAGCGAAACTTTTTTCATTTTCGCCCGTCTATAGGTAATCAGTTCTGGGAGTCTGCTTTCGTTCTCCGTCCGAAACAATTACTGTCAGGTAAGAAATAATTGACCAAATTAAAACACAATGTCGAGTACACGGAAGTAAAATGAAGCTTCATTCGCATCATGCGTTTTTTAATTTGGTTGAGAGTCACTTATTTGACATGCTCTGGCCACACAGGCGGCCGCGGAAGCGTTCCGGGCGCGGGAATTTTTGTAATGTAGGAGTTCATATGGACACTGCCAAACTGAAATGTGCGACTGCGCGTCTGCCGCGCTTTCAGTGTGGCAGAGTTTATATAAGCTCGTACATTACAAAAATTCTCGCGCCCGGAACGCTTCCGCGGCTGCCTTTGCGTGGCCTGATTGTTTCGGACGGAGAACGATAGTACAAGGCCTGTGCCGTCATTGTACAAGACCACCCTATAATCTTGGTGTAATTGACTGAAAGAATTTTAATTTTCGGCTATCGCGCCGTTCGGCCAAACCAATTTCGCAAAGCAAGTGAAAAGATATCGCCGCTATGGATAATAATGGCACAATATTTGGGTTTCAGTCCGGCCGCGGAATTTGATACAAATACCCGGCGGGATACCGCGAGATATTTTTCGCTAGCTACAGCAGGTAGCGAATATCGCTTATATCTGAATAAGCCTTAACTTCGCTCAGTCTGGCGAGATGGTAATATTATGTAAGAATTTTATTCGCATGTTGTATGAAATCTTCGACCAACATTTTTTTTTACGCCACTAAGTATGAACACTACTTTGTAAAAGTGTAAACTTTGGAGCTTTCAAGTTTTACGGAATCTATTGCATTGTTAATTCGTGCATTCTAATTAATGTATTACTTGACATTTTAAATTTCGTGTTAATCTTTATGAGTTAGTATATACTAAGGTTCATGTTCTATTGAGGTCACATTACATGCACATTACCTTATTTAGATATCGGAGGTTTTCAGTCACTATTAGAACAGTATTTAATTAGTGACTTAAAATAGTATTAATAAACCTGTTTCGTTTGTCCCTTCGACCACGTCCATATTATTAATTATGTTGTTTATTCGGATGCCTTGAATGTAATATTGGTAAAAACGTGTTTAAAAAGTTTGCGAGATCAAACTGTTTGCGCGAACAAAGCTCTAAATTAAACAGTAGGCGCCGCACTAGATTTTACTTAAATAAAAACACAATATATACGTATTTTATAATATAATAAAAGAGTCAAAATAACTTTTCCTTAATTATTAATACAAAGATTGAACACTTAGAGAAATTCGATCCGGTTGATCTGAGGAAAGCAATTTGTTATCACAAATTAATGGCATAAAGAACCTAGAGTCGCGATTGCTTTCCATAATGAGAAAGGACACATTTTCACCTCAATAATTATACGATGGATGGAGTACCTCACTGTATAAAATGAATGCGAGATTTGTGGATTCACAAAAAATCACGGAGAGGTTGGAGTCATTTGAAATGTCGTGTTTGAGACGAATGGAGAAAATAAACTGGTTTGAAAAAATATGAAATGAAGTTTTCAAATAGTTTACAGAAGAGAAAATTATTTCTTTTTTTAAATTATTTATTTATACATTTCAAAAGCACTAAAAACAAAACATTCCAGTACCTATAACATAAACTTAACTAAGTTTTTCTGTATACCGCTTTTTAAAGACAATAGACTACAGAACAGGGAAAATGTTTGGACATCAGTTACGTAGTGAAGAATTCATGAGAGTCCTAATTGAGGGACAGGTAGAAGAAAAAAGAAAGAGAGGAAGAACAAGAATCGCGTACATTCCCGTATATTTCTACATAAATTTTTATAGTGACCCTCCCTGCCGTCCGCTTGAGTATACGGGAAGGTATATATATATAACCTGTGCAAGCACAGGGACCCTATAAGTTCAGGTATTGACACCAGGGGGTCGACTCTCATTCTCCGTCCGATATCCGTCCGAATAAATAACTGTCAAATAAGTAATACTCGACCAAATTAAAACACGCATGATGCGAGTGAAGCTTCATACTTGACGTTCGATCTGAACATGAATAATTTTGTAAAACTACTTTTTGCGAAGCCAACTCGAATCAAATGTAAGCGACTTTTCCCTGTAACTGTATCTTTCAAGAAGTTGGACGTTGTCATATCTCAAGTTGATTATACTTAGTTTAGAATCGTGACAGATTATTGCGGGGTATATAACTTTAGTAAGGCACTTGGTATTTCTACGTAACTTTGGAGGAGACACGAGTACTTAACGAGGTGTGAGCGACGAGGTTTTCCAATTCATGAGTATTATATCATAAGTATAGGAGTATAATATCATAAACATTTAACTTGTATAGGTAACTACCTTCACTAAGCAGCAATATTAAGAATGGTTCCTGAATAGATTGACTCACATCTGCTGGTAAGATATCTTTATGCCAGTATTTTAAAGAGGTGTTCCAAATTGAGTATTGTGGATCAAATTTGCCTGATGTGCTTATAGTTTTCATGTGTGATAAATAAATTCACACTTCCAATATGTTATAAGATTAAATGGTTAAGCGCCACAATATAGACAGATTATGACAAATTTATACTTATCTACTAAATACATTGCTAACCAACTTATATGCCCTTACGGATAAGTAGATTATTATATCGTTGGGGAAATATCGCCGCTATCGTATTGTCGTACTTGTCATTAGCATGCATAGCCGCTTCTGCGATAAGAACGCAGGGGTAGCCAACATATTATGAATTTAATTTTATAATTTTAATAGTGCTATCAAGTCTCTATTTACATGAGTTATGAAAAGTGTACCAAACACGTGCTAGGTCAACATGTTGCCTTTTACCATCTCCCTACAGCGAACCTTAAGGAAGACATGGATTAATATAGAACTATTCCAGTATAAACAGCAGCTCTACTTGCGCATCTTAAATTTGATTACGTAAACAACGATGAACTATTTTACTTATGGAGAGCAATTAAATTATTGAGTATTGAATCGTACAATAATTTAATTTAATAATACTGAACGTTGTGAACCCCTGAAAGCGTGGGTTATGTTGCGGTGCTGCTATTGACATGCGACCTCTCAATATTCGCTGGAGCGAACAAGAATATACAATTCAATATTCCCCAATACATATATAATTCCTTTATACATACATCTACAAGATATATAATATACGATGAAAAAGGTGCGTAGACATTACAACTGAAAGCATTTCCCTCAAAGCCCTATAGCGCCTAATCGCGTCATATTATAACTCTTATTACACTTAGGTGGAGTGGTTCAAGTGTGAAAGTTCCGAAAGCCAAGTGTTAATATCGCGTTATCTAATGATGATTGGAGTAAAACATCGGGTCGAAGCAACGCAATTATGTAGGCGGCGGAATGGCCGCATGTGAATGGTGCGGGATCGATAGAGCGGAGTGCGCACGCTCGTCCCTCGCCGTCCGCCGTTCGCCGCGCTACCCCGCGCTCCACATCGCATACACAGCTGGCTTCACCTTCCGCCGCTGACGCTCATCAACCTGTGTCTCAGTGTCCCCTGTGTACAGATCCAGTGCTCTGCCGCATCTTGGATATGGTCCGGACTGATTAGTGGCTCTAAACGGTGCGTACCTCACCAGAAACACAACACAAACTTAAACTCTTAGATAGACTTTCAGCGACGCCATGTCCAATATTTTAATACTATATTATCGTGAAACCTGTTACACGGCAATTTTTAATATTGGGTAACTTTTTATTAAATAGATGTGTGTTTAAAAGTCAACCCTTCGTCAGAAGTGTACCGTACTGCCAAAAAAACTTAAATAAGTCGAAGCTTATGTTTACTCGAGACATGTTAAAAATATTGCGTGTTGTCTCCTATTCTTTCCGTAGCCATTTTAATTACATTGTAATTACACGGTGCTTCATAATATTAAAAAAGTTACGGCATCTTTGGGAAACAAACAAAGCTCGCAAATATATGAAAATGGCAAGCTAGATATTCAGGCCGATTGCGTGGGACGCAAAGGGCACGGGCTGCCTACGTCAGTAGATCCAATATACATAACAATCTATGTACCAGTATAGAACATGATATTTATGACCGGCAAAAGCTCTCTTTAAACGAGAACCTTTATTTGTTAGCAATTCAATTCTACATACATTTTTCTTTGCTTCCAAAAGATAAGTAAGCTCTTTGCAGCAATGTAAATGTCGATATTTCCTCTACGCCGTGCCCAGGTCTTGTTTATTTTTAAAATTACGCTGTTGATTGCTATGTTTTATATATATTACGATTTCTAAAGAAAACTACATTTGTGTGGCACAATAGCACCTAATAAATAATTAGTTGGTATGCTACTGGATTAGAATCTCAAACCTCTTAAATGGATGTAGGTATGGTAGTAGCCATTTTCCGTTTAAATGTAAGGGTACTTCAGCAACTCTATGTGCCCACACTCGAGATTATTCTTAGCCATCAAAGCATTGTTGTCTTCGATCGATAGCTACGTACATCAATATTTCACTGCTCAATCGTAGGCAATGACATTATTATTTTATTTACGTAAATAGTACACAAGACTGTTGGAACAGCCATTATTCCTTACGAGGTTATTAAAAGGAATTTTTAATATGGAGTCTTTAGCACCGCTAGATTGGTTTTCACTCAGTCACTGTGTAACTACGCCTGAAGGATCCCTCTTATCAGCAAGTGGCATCGCGTCCATGCTAATCGCACCTTGTAAATGTGGTTTTGTCAGCACGCTTTAGAGTCGTGCGTGCTGACAGTGTCCCGTATGGAACTCCAATTTAGTCTAGTAGCTTTGCTGATACGTACGTACGGAATCTTTAAGCATACCATTGGTTAGTGGCAATCGTTCACAGCATCACACATAAGTACCTTTCGAGTCACTGAACCGCGGCGTCAACTCGATAGCCGATAGAGCAAAGCTGATAGCAACTGCATACACCATGGGTATTATAAAGTCGTATGTATTGACGCGTGACTGCGACAGGTGTCACCGTGTAATATCGACCTAAGATATGAAACCATTACCATCCAGTCGTAGTTAGTGGCTGCAAATGATGCTCTATAAACGTGATTTTACTATACATTTACTTACAAAACGACATTATAGGTATAGGTACTGTAGTGTAAAATGGATAGATTAGGTATATTATTATTTTATATTTAGAACTGTGTAAAAAATAAGAAGGTGGTTTTGTATTTAGAACGAGATAAAAAAAGAAGGTTGTTGTCAAAGGAAGACCGGGGAGTTCTGGACGAAGCTTCTAGCAGAACGCTGACAGTAAATTATTATTATTTTATATTTAAAACTTTGTAAAAAATAAGACGGTGGGTTTGTATTTAGAACTTTATAAAAAAGAGGATTGTTGTCAAAGGAAGATCGGGGAGTTCTGGGCGAATCTTCTAGCTGAACGTTCACAGTAAATCTTTAATTATGATTATATTACTCGTTTAAATATTAAATAGTATCTATCACTGCGCTATAAGCAAGGCTACGCTCCCACAGTACCTACTGCCTTTCTTTCCTTATCATGACTAACGTAATTGACATTTTTGGCGAAATTGAGTTATTAACATATTTGGAATCAGCGAAACGAGATCTATAAACTCTATAAACTCTATAAATTCTATAAACGTTCCATTTATATCTTATTTAGTTTCAGTTTTATTGTTAATCGAAATTACTTTATAACTGACATTTCTCACAGAAACTAGGTGCGAAAATCTCGAAAGTTACCAAAATGCAAATGCGTTACTTAAATATGACAAAGAGGGCAGTATAGTCGTTTCCATTTTATACACTTTTTTTGTGTTTATTTGTTAAACGTTTAAAGAGGTTTCATAGCGTGTTAAGAAGCCCATACAGGGTTATTTATAAATACAAATATAAATAAATAAAAATAAACACTAACAACTTCGCAGAACTATATTACTAATATAATAAACAACAACTTTTTCACCTCACTAGCTTGGAAAGGCTGTCTTTCTCATTAGAAATCTGCGCGCAAAAGCGGTTTTTACCATAGATAAGGTTTTTGAAATTCGACTGTGGTGCACCTAACTTTTCTTTCGATGAAAAAAAAAGATGACACGTTCAACTACGCCATTAGTCGTACATTACTTATTTATATAATATAAATCCGTTGGTATATTTTATTCTTATTATTGAAGACATTAAATATTGACAATGATAACTAATTGTGTTTATTAAATTATTTTAATTCGTCGAAGAACTAAAATAATTTCAATAATTATTTTATCACACAAAATAAAAGTACAGCAACACAAGTACAAGCAGGAATAAAAATTGATCAGGTGTAAATTCAGAATGCATCCAAAGATAAACGTTTTCTTTTATTTGTAAAAACTCATGTTATTTAAAGTTCAACTATTTTTCTTCCATCTACCATTGTGCTCGCTATAATAGTGAGGTGAAAAGTTGTGTGTTTCGCTCGGCGAACGCTCTCCCGTGGTTCAATCTGAACTTCCTTCGTTTTCTCAGGTTTCAATAGAAGCATTCGCGTCAAACAACAACTTTGCAAGCCTTGCATAACAAATAACTATTATAACAAATAATTCCATGACTTTTATATTTGTCAGGTTTTACTTTCATACAAAAATAGTATATATCATATTTTATAATATCATATTTAAATAGATCGCTCTAAACGATAGTAACCTAATTACACTGTACAGAGCTGGGAGTCGTCTCAGAGGACGCTTAACTGAACTTAGGTATCTTACTACCACATACAAATCTAAAAATTAGTAGGTAGTACAACAAAAACTCTAAAGTTTATTTTAGTCAATTTCTTAAATAAATTGTTTATTATGTTTTGTAAAAATTCGTGGAACAAAAGTTATTGTTTAAGAAGTTAGTAATATAGTCCTACGAGGTTGTTAGTGTTTTAAAAAACCCTGTATAAATAACGACTCGTTTGCAACATAATTATAGTATAAATATAATGATACTACATAATTACTTGAAAAATTTAATCTGTTAATACTATCACAAGAAGGGAAAGCGACTAAGCTAGCTAAATCGAATAAATTATAAATAATGGAAATGCACAAATGAAATAAATATTACATGCAAGTCAGCAAATTAGAACGTTTTACCCGTTTATTCCACACTAATTAAAAAGAAAAAACCTCATCGTAATTCCTGGACTTTACAATAAAGATAGTTCACCAATCGGTACACACAAACTCATACAGCATACTATTATCACTTATTACCCTTTTTTATTTGACAAACTAGGTATAATACGTAATTACAGGTATGGCATCTGTAATTACGTATAAGTACTTACCTATTATTTTTCTTTATATACAGCTCTTACATACAGACAAGTTTTTAACCGACTTGAAAAAAGGAGGAGTCTCAATTTGACTGTTGTTTTTTTATGTATGTTACGCGATAACTCCGGATAAATAAAATTTGTAAACCGATTTTGATGATTCTTTGTTTGTTGGACAGGGTACTTCAGTAGCGTTCCAATTTAAATTTGAAGAAAATATTCCACCTCTAAGGGTGGTAAACTAGGGGACGCTTTACAAGTAAATGTAAACATTATTTTATTTTTCTTTAATAAACGCTGTGTATTGTCTGAAATAAAGTAATTCATCATCAACCATTTATACGTCCTACTGCTAGGCCCAGGTCTCGTCTCAGGCGAGGGTTTAGGACATAGTCCGCCATTGGTTTTTTGTTGGGGATTTTACACGATTTCCGAGGGTTGTGAACCTTCTTCGGCGTGCAGGTGCAGAACTAAGTGCGAGCCCAGATTCGGACGGCTTTTGCTTGCGAGGCGGTAGATCCAACCATTAAGCTCTCATGGCTTATTATAATATTTTTTTATAATATTTTTCAATGGCTTAATTCAGACAAGCTTCACATAAAAGTGAAATCAAGGCATGTCTATCAACAGGCCCGTGTCTTCCGCTTACAAAATATTTCACGAATGAAAGAGTTGAGAGCACCTTATAAGAATATTGTTTTCCCTTTGACATTTAACGTAGCGAAATTAAAGCAGAAATCCAACGAAATAATGGTTAAAATTATATTATACACTGTTTTTTAAAACGGACGGTAGGGATCAGATTTTAGCCCATTTGTAACGATAAGACATGATATTATTGTTCTTAAAATTTAAGCGTATTTCATAAAACAATACAAACTAGATACAATGTAACAATAATAACATACAACTGATTAACTCGAAGTTTATACTAATCTTGTTATCGTATCGATGTCATGCATATAACAATGCTTGGCATCGTGGTGAAAGGATTTGTCAATCGGCATAAGGTACTCGTCGATTGTTGTCCAGGTTGCGCCAGACGTACATGGATGGAATGGCTTATTCCCATCATCCCCTGGGGATCTGTTTTATTTTAAATTATTGTCCATTCCCATCGGATCCTCAATACAGGGAATCAAGAATAAATATTAATATTTTATTCCCACCTGATACCCTGGCACTCACAAGTTTATTTTTGGTAGGTACTGTGGTGCAGTCAACAAGAAAATGTATTTGAGTGTTGTGCTGTATTTCATTTAGTTTATTAGAAATGAACAACATTAACTG